CTCTCTCTCTCTCTCTCTCTCTCTCTCTCTCTCTCTCTCTCGCGGGTACGTACACACACACACACACACACAAACACACACAAGGTGTAAGTAATCACGAATTTTGAGCCATGCATAAAAATGCAAGAGTGTAAAGCTGAGACGAATATCCCGAATATTCGAAGCAGAACGAATGAACGAACGAAGCAAGAAAGCACTGTGTATTGAGCAGGGAGTGGTGCTTTCTGGTTTGCCGAGTGGACGGTTCGATGGACTTCTCGTGTGCTCTGGATGGCAGCCGTGAGTCAGTCAAGTCAGAATTCAAGTCGGCAGGAAAACCACGAGCTCCCATGTAGGAAGCAACACACTATTCCCCTACTATCGCCGAAGTCGCACCAACCTCTTCTTCACATTGTTGTCCCCAGCGCGTGCTTGCGAATTGGATGGTTTGGAGGCAACAACGTTGTGAATGGCCAACAGTCCTCAGCGCTTGTTCAGCACCTCCATGAGCGACACTGACTTACGCTGCTATCTGGTGTTGACGAGGTGTTTGTCGCGCTGGAAACGGAACGTCTCTGTAAGTTTGTATCCCTGGTGATGTTTGTGCCTGGAGAGCACTATTATAAGTGGTGCTCTTCAGGCACAATTTTCCTCAGCCTACTCAGGCTCAACTGATGAGGGGTGAATTCCCCGAAACACTGTGTATTGAGCAGGGAGTGGTGCTTTCTTGCACCTTTGCCGAGTGGACGGTTCGATGGACTTCTCGTGTGCTTTGGATGGCAGTCGTGAGTCAGTCAAGTGAGACTTCAAGTCGGCAGGAAAACCGCGAGGTCCCATGTAGGGAGCAACACACTCTTCCCCTACTAACGCCGAAGTGGCACCAACCTCTTCTTCACAATATTATTATTATTTGTTCATATTTTAATAGATAGATTGATAGATAGGTACTACTACAACGTGTAGATAGATAGATAGATAGATAGATAGATAGATAGATAGATAGATAGATAGTGCCTTTGCTGTTTGCTTTATGCAGACCTCACTGACTTGTCAGTTTGAGCACTCTGGCAAGGTACGTTCGGGCCTGATTGGAAATTTTTATTTCCATTGCTATCAGGTTCGGCCTCATTTCCTCTGTGCTGCGCTGACGAGTCCACAAAGGACGAAACAGTTCTGTCCGCAGATTGAGTATTTCGCTCCTGCTCTTGTAGCAGTTGAGCACTCTTGCGTGGGGTAGTGCCTTTGCTGTTTGCTTTATGCAGAGCTCACTGACTTGTCAGTTTGAGCACTCTGGCAAGGTACGTTCGGGCCTGATTGGATTTTTTTATTTCCATTGCTATCAGGTTCGGCCTCATTTCCTCTGTGCTGCGCTGACGAGTCCACAAAGGACGAAACAGTTCTGTCCGCAGATTGAGTAGATAGATAGATAGATAGATAGATAGCAGACTCAGCGGAGGACGTTCAGGTTGGTTGTAACTCTGAGTTTCATGCCGTTAGGCAATCATCAGACAACTGATACTCGAGTCTACCCAACAATATGCTTATAAACACACCACAAGCATAAACAAATTTAGCGCTAAATCTGGTGTAAGGTATGGCTAGAAAGCTGGCGTGGGCCAAAGCGGGACAGTAGAAGTGCTAGGAGGGTGACGGGCATCGCAACAGGCAGGTGTGAGCATGAAAGCGCGGAAAGAGGCGATGGGGAGGCAGTGTACAGCAGATGGGTGGAGGTGCCAGGAGGATGGCGGGCAATGGGCCAGTGGGATCGCTAGGGGGTCTTTGGGTGACGGGCAGGCGTGAGCATGGTGAACAGAGTGGCATAGCCAACAACAGGCCAAGGGATTTTGTTATTTTAAAATAATTGATATTGGGGTGCTCAGGCAAAGTGCAAAGTTCGTTTGATAGGTGTGAAATTTGCGAGGCAGAACTTATTCTCATGCCTGCATTTCGAGATCATCTCAGACCGCTTGTTGAGCAGGAGCTTCTTGGGTGTAGTCAGGATGTGGAATTTTTCCGCGGTGCATAGATTGCATTTTTTTACTCACATCTGTATGATCGGCTCCTCTCCCGCACCTTCCATGTAATGGTCAACGGCTTTCCCTAGCTCTTGAGCTCCCATACGAGTTTTGCGAGCTCCGTGCTGTTTTTGTATTTTTCATGGCGCATGGAGGGCAGGTGGTTGGCGTGATGGGCTTTGAAAGGTGTCTCTGATAGACCGATGTAAATCTTGCTGGTAGATTCTGCAGTGGCCTCATACACTATCTCCTTCGTCTGGCACTCTCCACGCAGCAGGAAGGACTCCTTGATTCTTCAGTTGCATGCCTTAGTTTGTTCTGGCGCTCGCAGGTTGCTCTTGTTGGGCATGCAGCTGTAGCTCACTTTCAGTGTGTTACGGTTGAAAATCTTCCAGAGCTTGGATGTTTTCGGGAAGTGCCTGGAGACAAGGCTCAGGAACCTGCCGGCGACGTTTGTGCTGACGTTCTTCGAGTGAGGGGGGTTGAACCATATGACCTTCCGGCTGCGGTTCTTCCTGCCCCTCTAACTCTGCTCATGTGCCTCGGGCTGAAAGCTCAGCACTTCATTGTATCCACCGGCCTTTAATGCGGTCTGGTACACGGGGGCTGCATGGTTGAATGCCTCCGCGTCGCTTGATAATAGTGGAAAGGCGCTTGTTGACAGCAGCAGGGATGTTTTTGGTGATCTCAGGCGGGTGGTTTGACTGCTTGCTGACGTAGAGCGGGTTTTCATTTGGCTTTCGGAAGGGTTGAAATTTCCCAGTGTCCAGGTTCATCGTGACATCCAAGAAATCCACCACCTTCAAGTTTGCTTCGATGGTAATTCTTAGGTCGAAGCGCTTGAAGATTCCCGTCAGCTTTTTTCTGAGGCGGTCTGCAGCCTGTGGGCTGGTGTCCTTGAGAGCGGCCAGTCCATCGTCTCTATAGGGACCGATAGCGGATCTATCGACGTGGCTTGAGAGCTGGTTGAGAAGAAAAGCGCCCACAGGTTCGCACGTCTCTGCGCCATCGTAACTTCCCATTGTTACGTCAAACATGTCGCCCTTGTCTTCATCCAGGGGCGGCCATCACGGAATAGGAGCGATTTTCGGACGTGAAGGATGATGTCCATTTCACGCGGCTCGATCGTGGTGAATTGCTCCGCCAACGATAAAGCCTGACGGAGGAGCTGCTCACAATTCTGTGCCCTGCTAAAAGCGCATCATGGCTCTGTTTAAATGCTTTTCGGCTAGTGTGTTTCTGTGGCATAGCGGACTGAAGAATAGTAAACGTGTTTTGCAATATATGTACGAAGCTATTTTGTATATAGTATGTTCCCATTCCGTTTTTGCTTTGGTGTAGCCCTGAGGTTGATTGCTTATTTATTTCTACCCTTCCTCTCTCCATACTTCTGTCCCCCCCCTCTCTCATTCCTTCTGTCGTCCACATGTATTAAAGGAGGCGAAATCGCCTGTTTGTGGTGCGACGTTAAATACACTTCTACAACAACTACAACAACAATTGACGGGTAGAATTCTACCACGTCAAAGCATAGGAACGTGTGGCGCTGTTTGTCGGGTATCTCCTTGAACCACTCGATCACTGACATGGTGCTCCTCCATATGTTCACGGCCGTTTGGCGACGCACAGCAGCCACGATCTTCTCCAGTATAGCCTTGCTTACCACACCCACTTCCGATTTGGCTGGGTTAATGAGTCTGCAGGGCAGCGCTCTAGCGAAGTTGTTTCTGTGATCTTTCAGGTTTTGTGATCTTTCAGTGTTATATACATACCTTACACCAGATTTAGCGCTAAATTTGTTTATGCTTGTGGCCCTATGTGTTTATAAGCATACTGTTGGGTAGACCCGAGTATCAGTTGTCTGATGATTGCCTAACGGCATGAAACTCAGAGTTACAACCAACCTGAACGTCCTCCGCTGAGTCTGCTATGTACTAAGCTCTGTCTCTGCAGCTCGGGGATCAACGGATTTGTAGATAGATAGATAGATAGATAGATAGATAGATATAATAGACATTGGGTAGACATATAGACAGGTAGATAGACAGCCAGATAGACAGATTGATCGATAGATCAACATATAGATAAACAAATACAGACAGATAGACAAAGTGTCTGAGGTTCTTGCTGCAAATAGTGCTCAATACCCTAACAAGGGCAGAGCATACTACACAAGGCAGAACAACAGAGGGCAAAAGGTTTTCTCAGAAATATTCGACCACTTCTGAAAAGTGAAGGTTTCGTAATGTACATGTAAGTCCTTTTGAATGATGCAAAGATAACAATAACTCCACACACGTTAAAAACCCTGACGCATGGTTACACTCTTATTTGCAGTGTACTTCTACAGTGCTGGTAACTGAAATCCGACCCCCTGAGAGTGGGTTCACATTCTTTGCGATTTGAGCCCACCGCTCAGGGGGTCGGATTTCAGTTGCCAGCACTGTACAACATGTACGTACATGTAGATGTAGCACAAGAATAATGCTTGAACAGGGTAACGGTCGCATTACATTCCATTTTTTTTTAATTTCCACGATGGCCTATGGCCAATAAGGTGTCGTCCGTAATTATCGATCTTCTTCACGAAGAGAAAAATGTTTCGTTTATGGGTGGGTGGGTTGAGGAGAGTTTCGTTGTGAAAGCCATCAAGTCAATATATTTTTCGTTGAAGGGTGTGGGGAAGGGTCAGAACTAAACTTTTTCGTTTTCGTTCCGTGAAATTTATCGATAATGCCGGATGACCCCGAAGCAAGGGACAGAGTTTCACAATCCACTTTGTTCTCACACATGAACAAGCACTGCTTCCCCCAACAGACAATGAATTTGGTCTGATCAAGGAAACCTAACATTGCAAAAACGAAAATGGATACTAGTAAATCATGTACATTTGCACAAAAAAAAAGAAGATTACCATTGAGGACTCGCATGTGACTTTATAAAATAATAATATATGATCGTCTCTCATATCATAAGAGATGATTCAAAGGGACAGAATGTACTTGAGAAACATCCTTAGGAACACACTTCGAAGCACATGTATGCCTGGTCGTGCAACGAAAGAAATGAAAATAGAGAGCTAGCTAGGTGTGCTGCAAGACTTACGCACATGTACATGTACATGTAGTCCATCCAGTCAACAAAAAAAACATGCACAAGTACAACTATGGTGACAAAGCAAACTACTTTCCCCATAATTATTACATTATAGTCGTACACACGTGCGCATGCATCAGATGAAAGTAGGAATTCGAAAATGACCTAGTGGCGACAGGGGAGAAAGTGCAGATTTCTGTGACAAATCATTCTCAGTGCACCGTTGTTAGCGGTGCCATCGTTCCATTTTCCATATGGCCAGTATGGTTAAGGTTGTGACCGTGGCCATGACCACAATCCGCATCGTCGCCATGGTGAGGCTCGTGCTGCAAACTAACCAGAGCGATGATGGCGAAGCCGAACACAATCAGTGCCAAGCGCATCACATGGATATGTGACTCACCCGGCGAGCGCTGTCCTTGAATCTCGGGGGAAATGATTTCCAGGAACACCACGAAGAGGAACGTTCCGGTGGCAATTCCTTGCAGGCACGCTGTAACAAGCTGGCGGTCAACTTCATTGGTTGCATGGGCCTCAACGGCGATGCCAATTGCCACACCGACAGGGCTCATGGCTGAAAATATCAGTGCTGCCAGAAGGATTCTTTTCGCGCTGGCCTTCAACTTGACCATGCGTATGCCAAGAGCGAATGCCAGCACACATTTGTGCAGCAGAATGGCAACGAATAGCTCGATGACTGAATCCGACGCGTTCTGCAGGCCGAGAGCAAGGCCCTCGAATAGTGAATGCAAGGATAGAGCAGCAAGCAACACAAGGGAACCAAGCGCCTCCGCTGAGTCCTTTCCAGCTGGGTTGTCTTCTGATGTGGAGGCACTTGAAGATCTGCGTAGGCCACTGTTCTTTGCACCGTTTGTGGACGACGTGAAGATGACTTCCCGATCCTCAACATTAGTTCTTGACGCAGGATCGTATGGCGACAGCTCATTGCTGTAGTTGACTTGTCCATTGGTGCTGTTCAGTGATTGGTCTTTGCGCACTGAAGCAGCAGCTGAGGTGTCCTGCGCGTGTGACGGCTGATCGATACTGCTATACGCCGGCAGGGCGCACGCTGAACTGAGCGTCGCAGGTTGCGAATCCTGCGAATCCTCTTCCTGGCAGTTGTCGCAATTGCGCTCCCGGTCACATCCATGTGGCGGAACGTTCGCAATGTGGCACTCTGATGTGGGCCTCCGCTGATGAAACAACAGCACCAGCTGCTCAAACACGAGAATGAGCAGAAATCCACCAGCGACAGTCAGCTCGGTGAGCGGGTAGTGGATTTCAAGGTCTTTCTTACACAGCACGTAGTCGAACATTTCCCGAACATCAGGTATTAGGTGGAGGAGCGCCACTCCCAGGAAGATGCCTCCCGACAAGCAACTAGCGAGACTTATTGAGGCTCGCCTCCACCGTCCACCGCTCGTTGACCATGAAGTCAAACGAATTGGCAAGACGGTAAACAATAGGGTCGGAAAAAACAGGCCCAGAATGGACAGGACCTTCGCTATCACAATATTCATTTTCACAAATAGCTACCGTACATCTACTTCCGTTCAAAAGGTTTGAGACTCTAACTGTCAGTGGCACGCAGCGAGCGCTCACTATGTCGGACAAAAATCGGAAAGACCAGAAGACTTCTAGGGCATCGTCATTCTCTTCTAAAGCGTCGTCGTTTTCATCCCCTCAAACTGAAGAGGAGAAAGAAGACGCTGCGCCTTTTCAAGCAGCTACTCTCCTGCATGCGCATGCTCGTCACTTACTGAGTACGTGGCTTGAGTGTGCGCTGGGCTGAGCTGGGCACGCCGCCACCCTGTACTGACTGACTGTACGTAGATCTACCCCCTGCTACTGTGACCTTAGCCCCATGCATGCTACATACTACACACTCTCCACTAGACTACAGTGACAGTGTAGTCACGTAGCTAGCTAGATAGCGCTAGCTGAGCCATAATCGATCATGCCATACCAACGCCCATGCCACGCGAACGTGTCATGCACAGTGGCATGCGCCGCCTGCGGCGCGGCCCCGTGCCTGGACTAGTACTAACTGATGATGTAGTACTACTAGTAGTAGTACAGACTAGACTGTATCTAGACTAGTACTAGTATACTAGTAGTAGATCTACTAGTACTAGTACTAGTAGTAGTAGAGCTAGATAGAGAGCTATGCGCGTGCGATGGGCCGACACTCCTTTTTTATGATAGTAAGACATAGTAATAGTAATACTAATAGTTACCGACTGTCTGTAGATCTACTCGTACATGGTCGACCTGGAACCACGTAGACCCACCCACCCCGACCCATGCCCAGCGGCCAGGCGCTAGGATCATGAGGATAGGATCATGTATGGCACGTGAGTGAGTGTCAGCGTCCCTAGCCACAGCAGCCCTGATCTGACCCGCCCCTGGCCCGGCCCAGCGTACTATTGCAGTCATTCCATGGTGATTTCTGCCAGTTCTGGTTACCCCATCCCAGCAAGTGTAGGGTGTACGGTGTGCAACTGTGCATAGGTAACTGTCTTGGCCGGGGTTTTTTTACTCCGTGTGGTGTAGACCAGGTGTGCATTGGTGGTCGATTCACATGGCTGCGCCAGTTGTGTGGATTTAGACCAGCTTTTTGGTCTGTCTCATTCGGGTCTTGTTCGCTATCGTTGCTGTAACTAACTTAGTGTAAGAGAAAATCTGTGGGTGCACATCCAGTGCATTTGCAGATGTGCGTGCTTCTCTTGCGACGGGCGTATACATGTAGGTCTACATGGTATGGTAGATGGTCTTCATGCCATCATGATTGCAGGCCTGGCCCTAGCCTAACCGTAAGTAAATGTAAAATGACCATCTACATGTACATACAGTACATGTACAATGTACACACTAGTCAGAACAACAGATGGCCTGATCAGTCACATCCCATCTCAGGCACTCATCAGGTGATATGAACATCAAGAAAAATAACCCACTATTTAAAGCCCAGTATGGCGGGACAAGGATAACAGAAAGCGCGGCGGAGGTGTCGAGTGATGGCCACAGCGATGGGCCCAAGACCTACATGTAGAGGGGACGGCTCGATACCGGGACGCTTTGACAGCCAAATTTGTATAGACCCAAACCGATCATCAGCGTTGATTTTTCACTCGAAATATGTTTGTGGAAGGAAACTGGCATGTTGAAGTTTGCTCTGGGGCCAGAGTCAATCGAACTGAGCCACTCCTTTGGGTTGTCCCATTGCCTCCAAGTTGCCCAATTTTTCGCTTCAAAAAAGTTCAAATCAGAGGTGGCTCCAAACCGGACACGTTTTAGAGTGCACGTCAAATTCACTCTGGGTCTGAAATTAGGTAATTGCTATCGCTCCACGACGGCCAGTACAGAGTAACAATACGCCTTGTGTGTGCTTCCATTAGTTTTGATTGGTATGCGGTGCTTTATTGGCGAGAGGCGAGCCGCTGTTTACCTGCGACAAGAAGTTGATTTTTCGAAAGTCGTAAAACTCAAGTCGCAGTGCGAAGCAACACGTCAAAAACTCACCTGCTTGGTATGGCGCTTCTGGTCATCGCAGAGCCATGACATTTTGGCTCGGAGTATAACACATCGTAGTCTCACTGTGACATATGTTTTCTAATCAAAATACCAAGAGAGAAAGTGTATATTGAGTCCGTTCCGGTTCGCAACCTATGTCCTATTTGAAACCGTCCCCTCTACATTGGCAGCACGGAGCCTCCAGTCAAGCTTCGATACGGGAATCACAAGACATCCATCAAGCTTCCTGGATAACGCAAATCCACGGGCCTCTCAAAACATGTGTGGGAAGATAATGGCAAGACGCACGACATCAAGTGGCGAGTGGTTCAGAAGGCCAAGGCCTACACTACAGCAACATAACGAAAAGATGCAGCCTGTGCCTCGAGGAGAAAGGAAGAATAGTCACTGCCGACAGGAGATCGAGCCTCAACAGGCGGCCGGAGTTAGGGACCGGCGGATTACGCTCGAAAAGGTGGCAGATTCTGCTCGAAGAGCAGTGAAATTGGCAGAACCATACAAACCTTATGGCGGGCAATTCCTCGAATTCTGCTCCATTTCTTTATCCACATACCAAAAATGCATGAAACGTGCCAGAAAAAGTACCGAATTCTGCCAATTTTTCTGCCGGCAGAATCTGCCGGACCCTAGCCGGAGTTGATATCTAAATGTCCACATCAAAATAAATTCATGCTAATAACATGATCTTCTCGGCATCCTGCTTCCAGGCAGTAGAGCCAGTTGACAGCCCTCTGCCGCCTTGTCACCATCATCATCTTTGCACGGCGCATCTCACTAGCTGTGCCAGCTCGGTTGTACCGTTCTATCACCTTTGTCACCTTTCTTAGTACCGCGATCCTTACTGGCTATGGCACTGAATCGGATATGAGTTGATAGCGCCCCTAGCGCTTTCTGTTATCCTTCTCCCGCCATACTGGGCTTTAAGTAGTGGGTTAATTTTCTTGATGTTCATATCACCTGATGAGTGCCTGAGATGGCATGAAACTTTAAGTTGTGACTGATCAGGCCATCTGTTGTTCTGACTAGTGTGTCACGGCTCTACCTTCCCGGTATCGAGCTCTCTTGGATTTCTGCTGGAATTCACAACAGTCTACATGTACAACGTACAAAATGAGTATGTAGGTACATGTACATGTAGGTAACTCGTGAAGCAACAGGTGCAGGTGACGGTTTTGTTACATGGACAGAATCCTCGCCACAACGTGAAAGATGCCATGTGTCAGCGCTACATCGTGTACTCAGTCTAGTCCGTAGCTCAGCTGAGCTACAGTGTACTGTGTAGCTCTCCAAGACTCCATGCATGATCCAGATCAGATCAGACATTATTATTAAAGGGGAAGTCCGGTGAAAAATTTAAATTTCAGGGTCGGTAGAGTTTCGGCCGCTGAGTCGAATGGTGTTGGTCCCACGTGTCTCCGACAAAGCGTTCTCGAGATATTTCCGTTTGAAAAACTGAGTTTCGGGGGCTGCGCCATGACGTCATGCGGCCGCGCCACACCCTCTGCAACGTCATAGCGTGCAGCTAGGTCAAAAGGAGTGCGTGAAAGCAATAGTGTCAGTGCTATTTCAAGTGATTTGGCGACTGATATTAGGTGGTGCAAGCGACCCCGAAGACATGTAACTCCTTGTGAGAGTGAGGATGCAGCCATGGCTGACCTTCATGAGTTCGGTCTGGGGCTGAGAACCTCGGTAGTCAGCTGAAGAAATGGCCGCGCGGGCCGGTCAAGAGTGAGCGCTACTGAGTTTCCGACTGATGAAGAAGCAGCAGCTATTGCAGACGAGGCTGATGTAATTATCAGATCGCTGGAGAGCAGGGTCGCCAAAATGGAGAAGAGTGATGCGAGTGCTCTAAATGTTGTTCCATACCGATTAGATTCGCTTAGACTCCAGTAGCCTGCCACATGGTGATGTTTTGGTGCGGACTTGGAATATTTCGGACTACTCAATTGGAGAACAGTGCAGGCTCTTTGAACCACGGGCACGACTCTTCGCTCCCAACGCTATGGAATCTGAAAGTTCTAGGTCCGAGAGCTGTTCGCTGTTTTGTCACTTGTCACGGTTGTGCACTCATCGCTGTAGCATAAAATAATGAGGCGCCGCGGGTGCGGAAAACTAAAATTTTCTTTCTCAAAGCACAACCACCGGCACCGGCAAGGAGAAACGCACGTTCTCTGACTACATGACTGTACAATACGACTGATACGAGTGTAGTACATGACAAGTCCGTGTGTTGACTAGTTTTCTGAGTCTTGTGTCAGTTCTGAGTTGTGACATGAGTTTGTTGACTGCATGCACTACAGCTAGATAACACACTGCACGCACTGCATGCACGCAGCGCAGAGCGCATAGACCATGTAGACGGGCTAACGGAAAAGTCCAACTCGGAAACGGCTAAAATACGGTATAACCTCCAGATTTACCGAGCTGAAAATCACAGGGTACGTAGTGTTTGTAACACTGAATCGAATGGTCTTGGTCCGAAGAAGCTGCGATAAACGGCTCCCCAATCGAACGCGCTCCGAATATGGCCATTTTTGTACACAACTAGATGGTGTGGCTACCTGGCTGCACGCTGTGACGTCATCACCTGGATCTGGGTGATGCGCGCTCAAATTCGCACATGTTCGATTGGGCGTATCTGACGAACCATAAGCCGCAGCCTCCTCGGACAAAGACCATTCGACTCAGCGCCCCGAACTCTACGGACTGTGAAATTTAAATTTTTCACCGGACTTCCCCTTTAATTATGTGACTTGACAGGCAGGATCTCTGGCAGTGGCAGTGCAGTGGCATGCATGCAGTAGGCCATAGGACTATTATAATTATTAGGAGAGACTCATGCCATCGCGTCATGCTAGAATATGTGCATGCCGGACCATGCGCATGAGGAAAACCAGCCTACATCATGTACAGTGCAGTGTAGCTCGTATACAGCTACAGGCTATACTGCTAGGCAGAGGAGCAGAAGAAAAGCAAGTCATCAATATCATGATTATGGTCATCTGGTCATAGGTCATGCATGCATGGCCTGCTTCACAGATGGCAGACGAGACGTCCGTACTCCGTGTATGAGCCGATCCTCAGACGCAAGTCACGTAACACGTGGTGGTTGCCATGGTTGCCAATGGGCAAAGGTTACTCGTTATGTAACGTAACGCAAGCTGCTTTGAATATCTGGTGAACAGGCAAATCCCAGGTCACATTCAGTTTGTTCGGGAATGGACGCGTGGAGGTGAAAGAAGCACTAGGATGGCGCTCAACTTCATGTCCGACACTCGTGTTGAGTCAGAGCAGCTGTCAGGAAGCCTTTTAAATAAATAATTTAATTCCATGGCAAGAACAAGCTTCAGAATCGCTCCAACTTCCAAGCGCTAGTGGAGGCGGACCGTTCACATTTCGTATACTTTTCAATGCGCCAACCCGTTCACCACAATCTCGACGTGAGCGCCGCTGTCGGGCACGGCGCCGTGTAATTGAAAAAAGCCCTCTTTATAATAATTATAATGTTCCAGCCACTCGACAGCCCACGCCTCTGTAGCGCATACGCCAAGAGTGATTAGCAACTGAATAGAGCGGTTGTCAGTTGACAAACCCCCTTTTATTTACACTGTCTTTAGCTGGAGAACATTATGGCAAAACCTGATGTGGTACAGCTAGATTTCCCGGCCGGTTTGTATAGAAGCAGGCCTGTGCAACTAACATCACGTGCAGGGTCGTGGAGGCAGTTTGTGATACACCTGTGCCCAGTCCTCCGTATTCCCCCTGCCCAGCATGTACCATGCATGTACTGCTGTCTGAGTGTGGATTTGAGCTAGCTACTGCCACGGGACATGTCCATATTGCGTCCGCATCAGAAATGATGTTTCCTCATTATGAGATAGTGGTTTTTCCCCAGACCCCTGTGCAAGATCGTTTGCTATAAGACATGTTTCCATCGGTCCCTTATACAAGACGAAATGAAACATTGATCGATCTAACTATGGCCATTTGATTTATCTTATTGAGAGAATCGATCCTGCAGCCTGTGGGACAGCTGAAGGTGACGTTATAACGAAGTTTGTCTACAAACGCTAAATACATTCGTCAGGGTTTTTTGGATCGCTGCCTTTGTCTTGTAACCAATGTCGTACTAACGAGAGTAGACCTGTAGATCTACCCTACAGTACAGACTTCAGTACTCACGAAACGACGAACGCCATACATGCTCAGCTCGCCATCCATATCAGCAGCCCTCGAATCCCCCGCTAAGTGCGAAGCAAAGCCAACGGCGCTCGTTTCCGGCGATAGGCCTCGCACTGACGAGTGGAATGCTATACCACGGAAGCTCCTCGGTGGGGCGTTGGAGTGCAGCCTAAGTCTTCATGAGAAAATGTAAGTCGTAACTCTGTTGAACGTGACCAGTACCTCCATCAACCGTCGCACGAACTGGATTGAAGCTACTGTCGTACGGATCTTTTTAATCTATTTTCCTTTTTGCCGCTAGTGATACTTCTTCTCACTGTATAGTTACTTGGAAGTAGTTGATCCTCCTTCAATGTGGCTTCCCTGGTACATCCGGTATGTGAGGAAGCCGAGAGATGGACTGACTAATTATTCACTTGTCCTGTCTTTCTAAATAACATGTTATTGCCAATATTATCGGATGTAATGATATATCGGATATTATGATGGCAACAAAGAATCAAAACATGCATAACACACTATATTATTATCGGCTATAGTGATAACTTTAAAATACATGTAGCAATAATATCAAAGGCCCTATTTTTTTACTTTCTTCACGTTGCTTATTTTTATAGTGACACATGTACATGTACATGTACATAACAGAATTTTTATGGAAATGCGGGCACTGTCAACTATGCAGCATGCTCATTTGTCAAAACGCCATGCTAGCTGGAAGTATTTCCTTGCCTTTCATGTGTCGATCGACAAAAGAAAAAATCGATCGTATCGCATATAGTGATGCATCGGTTATAGTGATAAAATCACGGAAATCAAAAGGGTACGCTATAGCCGATACAGACTGCATAATGCTAGGAGCACTATTGAAGTATTGGTGGGTCTTGTGGCGCTGTGTGGAAAGCCATGTGTAAATGTGGGGGGGGGGGGGGTCGGGGCCAGCGGTGTTACTTTACTCTTTAGGCAGGAGGCTGTTTACAGATTGTGTGGTTGTTGTAGGCAGGGGCTGTAGTCTAGTGTAGAGGCAGTGACAGGGATAGCAATGTAATGCTAGCGCAGAAGGTGTGGCTGTTTTGGGCAGGAGGTTGTGAGCAAGGTGTCATTGAGGATTGAGGATAGACGCATACGCATTGGACGATTGCCGGCATTTTACAAGGCAGAGGGCGCACTGTGACGAAAAAAGTGCGCCTAACTACAACCATCATCCGCTGGTGGAGCCCCAGCTAGGCTTGCGAGTTGCGACCATTTTGAATGGTACGGGGTCAGTTGAGTATTTTTTGTTCGTTGTTGGATGTCAGCCTTGTGTAATGTCCTCCCATACCGCGCATCATTTTGTTTGTACTTACACTTGTTTGCGTTATGCTTGGTTTGTTCGGGTTTCGGCACAGTGCGTCCTCCGCCTTGTAACATGCCCCCCTCCCCCGTCCAAAATATTAAAGTATCAAACAAGTCAAGAAAAGGACCAAGGAACTGCAAGTTACGTTATAACTTATTATGTCCACTAACACCACCGGTTACTTGACAATCATGCGATAACATTGCACAAAACTGACCGACAGTACCGACGTTCTGCAACTAACTGGCTATCAGCTCTAGCACGTCTTGGGTGCGCACTCCAACAGCCTTCCAACTTCGAATGTTCTAAGTTATATGGAAACATAGGAGGGAAGCCTTTCCCTCCTATGTTTTCATATAACGTTGAACCTTCCAAGTTGGAAGGCTGTTGGAGTGCGCACCCAAGACGTGCTAGAGCTGATAGCAAGTTAGTTGTTGTTATGTTCATTTTAATTCGCGATCAAACGGGCAAGTATGCCCATTGCCCAATTACAGGAATGCAAATACCGGAGATAGATAAGGAAGAATAGAAAAAGAGCGAAGGGCTACAGCGTAGAGGGCACACATTTCGAGGAGAATCAAATGAATACAATCATGTACTGGTGGTCAAGAAGAGTATGGGGTGTGGCTGCCAGTTTAAACTGGTCTTAAAGGGGAAGTTAAGGCAAAAATTAAAATTTCACCAGTTGTAGTCTTCGGGGTGCTGAGTCGAATGGTCTTGGTCCGAGAAAGCTGAGACGCTCCCTTCCTACTTGAATCCCAATCGAACTCGCGCACTTCCACCGAAACTGGGTGACTGCGCCCTACTAGATGGGGATTTGTATGCAAAATGTCACTAAAAGCGCCATTTCGTTCTTATAAAAGCACGGATGACCGCGATTGGCCCATATGTTGTAGTCTTTTGCTGAGTCGACTGGTTTTGGTCCGAAAAGGCTGCGATGCAGCGTTCCTCCTTTATTCCCAATCGAACATGGTTGAACAAGCGGTCACGTGCTCCTGGGTGCCCAAATCACCTGGTCACCACGCCAGCAGGCGACAAATTTCACACCAAGGTTCAACTCGAGTGACAGGAGTGCACCCAAAAAAGGTCAAACAGGCTAGTAAGTTGTACCCTGCAGGCACGGTGACCAGGTGACTGGTGTACGCAGGAGCACGTGACCGCTTGTTCAACCATGTTCGATTGGGAATAAAGGAGGAACGCTGCATCGCAGCCTTTTCGGACCAAAACCAGTCGACTCAGCGTCCAAAAGACTACAACATATGGGCCAATCGCGGTCATCCGTGCTTTTATAAGAACGAAATGGCGCTTTTAGTGACATTTTGCATACAAATCCCCATCTCGTAGGGCGCAGTCACCCAGTTTCAGTGGAAGTGCGCGAGTTCGATTGGGATTCAAGTAGGAAGGGAGCGTCTCAGCTTTCTCGGACCAAGACCATTCGACTCAGCACCCCGAAGACTACAACTGGTGAAATTTTAATTTTTGCCTTAACTTCCCCTTTAATTGGCATTGGGTACCACGAAGGCACGAACAGCTGCTGGTAGCGAGTTCCATTCAGTTGCGCCAGCGAAGCCAAACCGGGTTGTGCCAGAACGGGTCCCAGCTTGCGGCAGCTGAAGGCCATCTTCAGTCTGGAGTGGAGGCGAGTTCTGCCTCCCGTTGGGTGGGAGACTAGTGCACACAGTGGTGGACCTGCCTTTTCATGAGTACACCAGTGACCTCCATACTAACGTAAGAGCTTTCTGGCGGTGCTAATCCGGAACAGGCCCATTTGCACTAGGAGCGGGTGAGCGGAAGTGCCTGGCAGTTTTCCAAACACTGCCCGGGCAGCACGGTTCTGGAGTTTCTGCAGCCGATCCACCTCTTGGGCTGTAAGGCAGGAGTAGAAGCAGTTTGAGCCGTATAGCAGGTCGGGCATCACACCATGGCTTTCATGAAGGCGATGCGCGCTGCGAGGGTCAGGCATCGCCTAGCCTTCCACAGAGCACCAACCGTCTGCGAGACTTTGCTGACAATTGTCACAACATGATCATCGAAGCCTTAGACGGTCATCAATAGTGACACCGAGTTGTAGAACGTCAGTATTGTCGGTCAGTTTTGTGCAATGACTATGTTCTCGCATGAGCTGATTGTCAAGTAACTGTTGGTGTTAGTGGACATTATAGCATAACTTGTACAGTCATGTAGTTCCTTAGTCCTTTTCTTTACTAGAAATTAATCATTGGCTCTCCATCCAAGTCTATCAAACAATATAATTATACCATGTACGTACGTGTCCATGGCTTTGGTAAAAAGAAACTAACTTAGGTTGAAACCAGGGAGTAGTAAAATACTACTCCCTGGTTGAAACTAACTAACATTTGGAAAGGCCTCCATCGACGCCGATTCTCGCTGCGTGGTCCGGCCGACACTTCGACAGATAGCCTAGCCTGCGCGTGCGACGGGCCGTAGAAAACGTAACGTTCGCACATGTAATTATGTAGACCTACATGTGCATCCGCGCTACCGGGGTCCAGCATCCGTTCACTCATATCGATTTGGCCCGACTTCGGCAACCAACTTCGGCAAAAGAAAAGTCGGATTGCACTAACGGCATCGGGACTAGCGGAGTCAAGGAATTTGTAGGAGCTCATGGTTGAAAAATGTCTTGAATTCCATCCTGCAGGGCTGTAATTGTTGTTCAGCTGTAGTTGTGCAAGGGCTTTATATTTACACCTAACGTTATGCTCGGACCGTGCAGTGGAACTGATAACGACTGGTTACGTTAGTCGTTAGTGTGCAGGCCAACTCCTGCTAGTCGCGTTGAACATGCTCTTCTCTTTGGCATGCTGCACAACTCCCCGTAGATTGATGATGGCCGGCGGAGCGAAGTCTTGCATGGGGCTCTCCCTCTCTTTGGCGATAGTCCTGTGTGTTGCCAGTTCTTGTTTGTATTTGCGCCACTACGTGTTTGGCGGGTACGTGACCCTTCCTCCTAACGTCATCATGTCCAGAGAGAAGAGATTATCGCCTGAGATAACGCTGCCCGGTTTGGACGAGTCTCGCTTGGCAGATGACGTGATGGCGAAGTGCTCCGTGAAAGTGACGTATCCAGAGAAGTTGACGTTGAAAGAGAAGCGCGTCCTCTTCAGAAATATGATGTATGATGACAAGTACCGCGTAGTGTTCTGCTACTTGTCCAAGGTCGGATGCTCAAACTGGAAAAGAGTATTTGCTGTCATGAAATCCCACAATACGTCACTGTTCAAACTGCAGCATCACGATTTACACAATCGTAGTGCTCACCACTACAATGTCCTAGCGGATTTGAATGGGCCTGAGGCCCTGAGGAGACTGCAGACGTACAGGAAAGTCATGTTTGTGCGGAATCCGGTCACTCGTCTCTTGGCTGTTTACAGAGATCTTGTTGCAACGAGATCGAAGAGTACTACATCGGCTGTGAGCAAGTTCATGCATGAGTATTTCTTTTCGACGAGATTAGTCAGCTTGATTGGACACAAGCTTAAACCGTCGGACGTCAACATTACTCTGACATCATTTGTGAAGCTAGTGCTCGAGGAAGAAGACCCGTCTGACATGGATGAGCATTGGCGACCATACATAACCAGCTGTTTGCCTTGTACAGTCAATTATACATACATCGGCAGGCACGAGCAACTACCGACAAGTGCGAATGACATTCTTCAAGCACTTGGAGTTACTGATGTTCAGTTCCCGAACTCAGAACCAGATTATAAAGATGAGCCGGTGCGGATCCAATCATCGGCAGAACAGTACAAGAAAGTATCACAGACACTGGTGAAGAAGCTATGGCGAAGGTACTCCGACGATATGAAGCTGTTTGGCTATAGCGAACCGGTGTCACTCGGCTCAGAGGATGGCTCGCCGGTTATAGAGCCAGATACTTTGGAAGAATATCTTCGGGGATAGGTAGCTGTCAGTAGTTATGTACTACATATTGTGTTGTGTTTTTCTCGTAAAGTTACATGTATACGAGTCTTAATCTAATATTCAAAAACTGTAAGAACCTGGCAAAGCAAGCTTTAACAGTATGCAGAGCATCTGCACATTAACGGCTATTGGGTACGCGTCACACCCGCAGCAACGTTCTTGGCGTGCAACCAGCGTGTCGTACTGCAAGGTGGAGGGTGCACCTGGTTCGGCTGCGATCTGAGTACGCCTTACAAAATGAGTGCCTGCAAAAACATGTAAAGAGGCCCACATGACGTCATAGAACGCCCCTCCAAAAAAATATCATATTTTCAAAATGGAATATCTGTAGAACTGTTCTTCGGAGAGACGTGGTGCTGGGACCATTCGACTAAGAGCCCTGGACTCTAAAACCCTGAAAACCTCTCTTTCACAGGACTTTCCCTTCAATTTCCACTCTGGTTTCTTTGCCCACATGCTCTGTGTCTTAAAAAAAAAAGGTCTTTTGCACAGCTAACTGGAGTTGGTCATCCAGCAAGAAAGCATTCGCGCTAGTATATCCCAGCATATTTATTTTGTCACTATGTTTCAAAGGCAGGCAGGCATAGTGGGATGGTCTAAGACTATGAAACAGAGGGTAGAAGATCTACCAGATTCAAGTCCTGGCTTGGAAGCGGAAGGATTTTTTCCAGCCGTGCTGCGACCTACAGTACAGTTGATTGGGAACTCGTGGCCTGGCACGAGGGAAACTTGGGTGCAGGGAATGGGATTTTTCTGTCTGGCCACTTTTCTGGTGAGCTGATCTACTTACCCCACGCTTTAGGAGCTCCATCTGCGCCTTAAATCTTTGCAGGGTGGTGGCGGTCCTACGGATGCTGAAAACTCAGTCTACTACTGAGACTCAAGCAAACCGTGAATTTTTTTCGAAGGCACGTCTTGCTGCAGTTGACGATTCCTAAATGTCCGCAAGTGCTAAATAGTGCTGAAATGCAAGGTGCTGAACCTAAGCAGTGCGGAAAACTGTGTACATGCACGAGGGACGTTTTTTGCTATGTTCACATTCCCAGCTCGAAAATAATAAAGATGGACAATGGTACTGAGACTAGGACAAGCGTGACAACTACTGAGCAGGGGTTGCACCAAGACGCGGCAGTGATGGTGGGGCATTGATGGCTCTGGGGGACTGTTGACCCAATACCGAAAGGCGGAAATCATAGCACCACAACCCAACGCCACTAACATTTCAGCACCACTTCTTCTTTTTTCCGTGTACAGTGTGGCCCACAGCATCCCGATGTTGCCTGATGATTGAACATAAACTGTAGCATGAAACTCAGAGTTTCCGCGGGCAAATTAGCCCACCCTACCCACTGTTGTACTGTGCAAATGCACTAGTACGCACTGCCCTGGAGTCATCGGAGCACTCTCTGCACACTTGGCACTTCCTCCTGGCCAACTGCACACTGGCAGCAGGCTGTATGGTATCACACAATCGAAGGTTCGATCAGGCGTGTTGTTCATGACGCGGCCTCTTGTTGTTGACGTTGTTCCAAGTGGAGTTCCAAAACAAGTTTAAGCTTCAGGCTGCAGCTAGATCAGGTGTCCATTTCGAACCCAGACTGTGATTCTGTGAACCAGGGCCTAGGGAGGTGCTTAGTGGAAAAGAGGGAAAAGAACACTCTTGGTACAGGTTATGCGTTAGAGTTTACCAACTACTCCCCCCCCCCCCCCCACACACACACACGAACCAGATCGACCACAGTCACAGGCGACAGGTTGGCACAAAGCTGACACGGAGTACTGAAACGTTCCACGATATGTAAGTGTTGGCAGCTCAGCTGGATAGCATTAACCGACGGCACTGGCCTTCCAACATGGACGCTAACCGACGGTACTGCACTGGCCTTCCAACATGAACGGTTCGTGGCTATCAGAGATACATGATGTACATGTACATGTACTGATGTAGCTTTATTACCAAAGCCAAGGGGAAGGTAAGCACCAACGAGCCGCGCACAAGCTACACAGCAAAAAAGAAAAAAAAGAAGTAAATTATCGTATCCGTTCCCGAATTCGAAGGGAACTCACGACGGCCGCTAACACCCGATAAACCCTAGCGGCAGATGCAGCGCCTAACGGTGGGCTACACAGCAAGGCTCCACTGAACTCTGGCCTACGATGATGACAGGACGGTGGTGAGGCAAATTTACAGTACGGTATAAGCACAATACGACAACGTATTCCCACAACCACCCAGCTTGGGAGGCTCACCGCCAGCAAAAAGAAGACACGAAGGCGAAGGAATTGCAACCTATAATAACAGACCTGGCGCCAATATTCTCCAGTGACGTCACTCTGTTCTCCAGTGACGTCACTCTGTTCTCCAGTGACGTTACTCTGTTCTCCAGTGACGTCACTCTGTTCTCCAGTGACGTTACTCTGTTCTCCGTGACGCTCAAACGTGAAATTGCTCGAAGTACTGGTAGCACAGGCATGGTGGTGGCCTGGCACATGCGAAACATCTTTTAGCTGGTTGTGTTTCTCAACGTAATTGTATAGCCGGTGGTAACGCGGACGTGCAAACTTTACTTTTTTTACATATTAACATACATGTATTAATTTTGTGTTTGCTCACAGTTGACCTTGTTTGATGCGAGTCGCATTTTATTAATTAAGCTAATGGCTTAGGGCTCCCTTGAGTAGTGCAAGTCACAAGTATGATGCAAGCCAGATAATAATAATCTTTATTATTTAAATTGAAGTGTACAACAACAGTAATTGCACATTGCTCAGTTGCTGGAATTATGGTAAGCATCTCATGTCAAGTGCATCGACAAGGAAGAGTGTCAGTGTCAGTAAGACGATGCCAGTTCAGTATCTTGCTGTCAACCTGCAGCGCATGTCTAACTGAAGAAAAGTGGGTAAACTTTGGTCGTGTCAGGGGCATGGCGCGACGCGGCACGGATCTTTGTGGGCAGTTCGGCTGCAGCGCCACACCCACGCCTGCCCCCTGACCACTTTACCAACTTTTCTTATACAATACATAGGAGATTGAGTAACATGTACATGATTGAGTATGTACATGTTATGTATGTGTAGGTGTGTGATACACTCTGAAAGAGTCCCGAGCCTACATGTACATGTAGGTACATGTCATGGTCAGGGGTGTGTGGCGGCGCGGCACTCCACGCTACCGCACTCATCTTTGGCTGCAGCGCAACACCCCTGGCCACACTTTTAGTTTTACCCACCTTTCATATCTCCTACAGTTACATTGTACATGTACATGTACATGAAAGAGTACGACATCAGGTGGTCCATCGTCGACAGAGCAAAGACCTACACTACAGCAACATCTCAATAAGATGCGGCCTGTGCTTGGCGGAAAAGGACAAAACCATCCATTGATCCGCGCTGACGCAGCCACGCTCGAGAGCGCTCCTCAACAAAAATCAGAATTACAGTAGTATCAAGATGTCGACACCCGAATACGTTCAATACGTTCAATACGTTCAATACGTTCAATACGTTCAATACCTTCAATACGTTCTACCTCTTGCGCTGCGGCACTGGCGTCACTTAGTCACCTGCATCAGGCTACATGCCGCCGCCACCAGGCCCAGGCCAGGGCCTGTCACACCTCCTTCTCTCCTTCCTTTTTCACCTACCATGTAATAACCGACACCATCCGCACCATGTCTCCCTAACTAACGTATCACTGGAAATGTCACACTAATCATATGTCGCGCTTTTGCCACCTTTGCGCCCTATGCCACCTGCTTTTTCGCGCTTTACTCACTTTGCGCGCCCTGTTTTAGCTACCTGCCTGGGCCATGGGTATACATTTGGACCCAGATGATGTACAGGTTATCAGTTGTCTGAGGATTGCCTTAGCTTTGCTATGTGCATGAAACGCAGCGTTATATGTAACGTTACAACAATACGGAGGATTAGCAAGACGAAATTCGCGTTCGCGTTCGCAAACATTTTTCAGTTCGCGAACTGGATTGCGAACTTTCGCATTTTTCGTTCGGAAAAGTAGTCGGAACACGAATCGCGGATTCGTGTCAGGGCAGTCATAAATTTACCACGCTGTGCTGTCTACACGTGTCAACGTCATGCATGTGCGAATTCTGTTTGCTAATCCTTCTCATAACGCGAATTCCGTCACTGAGTTCGACTTTCCTTGGAGAGCGAACGCGAACGCGAATTTCGTCTTGCTAATCCTCCGTAATGACCTAGCCGGTTGTCTCTGTTCTCTCCTGCCTTTGTTGTTGTACATGTACATGATTGTACTTCGAATACTACTGTATCACACGGCACGTGCATTGGAAAAGCATCCCTTGAAGTTGAACCAGCCTAGGTTGCCTGATGATTGTGTAGCGGATCCCACCGCTGCCACCAATTATGTAGCGTATTTTTTTTTTTTTTAAATTTCGGCCAGTCGGCTACTATCATTTTCGTCTTGGGGGCTAGACAAGGGGAAGTAGCCATGTCGGGGCGTGAGCCCGCCTTTCGGCACCGGGAGTTGCAGCTCGCTCGACTTGACTCTACTGAGTGCAGAGGAGTAGCGTATCCCACCGCTGGCACCAATTATGTAGCGGGCCGCAGTCTCTCTCTCTCTCTCTCTCTCTCTCTCTCTCTCTCTCTCTCTCTCTCTCTCTCTCTCTCTCTCTCTCTCTCTCTCTCTCTCTCTCTCTCTCTCTCTCTCTCTCTCTCTCTCTCTCTCTCTCTCTCTCTCTCTCTCTCTCTCTCTCTCTCTCTCTCTCTCTCTCTCTCTCTCTCTCTCTCTCTCTCTGAGGCAAATGCACGCGGGTCTCAGTGAACACACTGTTAATTATTACTGAACTAAACGGAAGACTACATTGTAAACATTAACTCTGACTCTAACTCTAACTGGCGTCTCTAACTGAAGTTTCTAACTGAAGTTTCTAACTGGCGTTTCTAACTGAACTTTAGCCGCCGCGGTCAGCGGAGATTTTCTGTTGCTGGTGCTCTGCTGTGGAACGCTCTCCCTGGTGAGGTCCGCACAATTACCCTGCTACCTGAGTTTAAGCATGCATGTGTACCATACGCCTGTAGGGAGTAGTTCGAGTTGCTGCTGATCGCTCTGCTCTCCCTCCCCGTGCAGTTCAGTAACCCGCACGTAGTATCACAGATACATCGTATTCTCTCTCTCCCCCCGTTTACCCGCAGTTATTAGTATCCTATTCTCTTACTATGTGCTTCCATAGCTTTTACTATGTTCTTCCATAGCCACTTCTAGGCTAAGCCTTCGCCGTCATTTTATTGGGTCGTCATCCCGTTTGAATGTGCGAAGTGAAATAAAAACCAACCAACCAACCAACCAACTTTCTAACTGGCATTTCTAACTGGCATGGGGGGTGAACAGCAGCTTTTTATAGGCAGACAGCATACGTGCTGCAACAGCAATGGTCACGGCAAAGCTCAGCAGAGAGAAGAAGAAAGGTCAAAGTAGATGTGTGGGCAGTAGAAAGTGTCATTGCACAAGGAATGCTACTTGGTTCTATGCAGAAGAAGGAGCTGAATGCGATGTGGGCAATGGACGTAAAAGAAAGGCGGTTGAAAGTGCAGCAAAAGGTCTAGACTAGTATTTCTAAGGTCAATATGAAACATTGAACGCAGTGGGACTAGTTACTGTACTATCTATGTCATGGATCTGCAAGCACGGTATACAGAGTTGCAAGTGCGGGTTACGGGTGCGGTGTAACACACGTGACCAATACATTGAAAGTGATTCACGCTGCAGCTGTGTAAGTACTCTAATTTCAGAAATTTCCGGTGCTCAATATTTTCGGTATGAGGGCAACAGGCTAGGTTAGGTGAACAGAAATTTTCGGTACAGACAAGCAGTTCCCTATTGGATATGTGTGTTAGTGTTTGTTCGGTGTATTGAAATTTTAGGTGTGAAACAGACGCACCGAAAGTATCGAAAATAAAAGTACACCGAAAATTTGTGAAATTACAGTTATAAGTTACTAGCGTGCCAACGCTACGACTTCCTTCTTTAAACACAATCACGTCCTCGTGATTAGAGTACGAGTAGCAGAACACGAAGTGACGAACACTGATAGAAGATCATGGAGATTCGCAGACTAGACTGGGCGAGTATTACTAGTAGTTGATAGCCGGACTCCGACAATCGACTGAGATTAGAAAGCACTGGCGGCATGCATGGTCGCGTCGGAATAACCTCGACGGAAGAAGATAGGCAGAATGGATGACTTGCATATACAGGTGTATGTATTCGTGAACAGCCTCGGTTGATATCCGGACGCGTGCCACTGTCAATTGTATTTTGTTTGCCCGTAAAAGAGGCCTTTGTCCGGACGCATTGAGGACAACTGACATTGAAGTACTGGCTGGAGCGCAGCAGCAGATCATAGGACTAAGAGGTTGTACGAACATTGAACATTTTAGTAGATAGCGAATCATTACTGGTAGAGCCTCAACCGGAATATGGCAAAATAATATCGGAAATGATAACGTTTGGAGTAGACAGAATAAATGAACTGATAAAATCATATTCATAAAGTAGCAGCACACCAGGTTCACACGATCTCACGGGGTCAAAAAGGGAAAAGAACCATCCTCAAAATAGGACGTGAAAACCACAGCACTCTTGCTGCACAACCCTGGCAAAAAGGGAAAGAACCTCCGTCCTCCAAATAGGACCTGAATACCCACAGCTCACTTGCTGCACAACCCTGGCACAACCTGCCAGCACAATCGCAGTTCAAAACCGAACTGAATACATTATAAGGGGCATTGTAACACACATCGTCCCAGGTTAGCTAGATAGACCGTGGCTCACCATGATCGGACGCCTACCTAACTAAACTGGATTCACACACTCGCATAAAGGAAGACTAAAGAGAACAGAAAGACTGAAGGAAGACAGGAAAGAAAATGCCATATCGGGAATTAGCTTACGTTGGACATGGAGCTTGATCGGTAGAGACGCTGTCCGTCATCATTTTGGACTAGGGGGAGACGTGGCGGCCGAAGGAGTAGCGGCGACTGACGCATCAGGCTGGGCCATGCTGGTACCGGTTACACCAATAAAATAATTTACCACTGCCATCAATTCTGTAGCGCCGCTGCCATCAATGCAATACAGATAATAGGTGGGTTCGAATCTAGCAATTATAAAATTGAACCACCGCTGCCACCAATTCTGTCCTCCAAATAGTAATTAGTTACTAGCGTGCCAACGCTACAATTGCACTGCATTGTAGGCATGAAATCGATCGGCCCACTTCAAATCGTCTTTCAGCAGACATGAAGCCAAGAAGAGATGTCACTACGAGGAATGATTTCGGGAAGTGGAGATGTCAGGTTTCACACCTGTTGCTCTTTCAGACTGGGGGCCTGCCCGGGGTGGAGGTGGGGGAGGCATGGGCCGTGCTGGTATGGCATACTACAGGCAGCTGATTTAGTGATTGTCCTGATGGAGAGCGAGCAGGTGAAACATTTCTAATCATGATACTACAAGTATGGCGTCCGTATCGCATTGATCCGGAGCTGCTTGGCCTTTGCAATCCTGCGTGCCAACATTACTATAAAGTGTGCAAGCAGGGAGCGCGCTAGCGTTCAATACATTTGGGGGATGGATGGCCCGTCTCCAGATCTTCCCGTTTCCGAAGGAAATCCCTTTTTAAAGAGCCTTGTCGCACCTTGACTTTGATTTTGTGTTTCTCATTATTTTTGTATTTTTGTTGCAATCACTGCTTATCCATGCCGGTTCCTTTTTCCTTCTCCTCCCCTTCTCCCTTCCTTGCCATGGTTGGCTAACACCCTCTCTCTTTGTATTGGCCGGTGTTCTCACTGTGCTATGAGATGCTGTAATAAATAAATAAAATCGTGTTGGTAACTAGGCTAGTTCCTAACAAGTGCCTGTCAGTCAGCGGTCTAGCTGACACTACACTCATAGCGTGCAGGACCGGTCTTGCTAGACACTGTATGGACCAAGACTAAAACCCTTTACTGATACCGTTACTGTTAGTTGAATTGTGTGCAGACATATTTCAAGTTCTTTTCTCAATGTTTTTGGAATTATTAGTAATAGTGACTTCGGAGCGAATCATAAGAAGGGAGGTTGGTGGCTCGGAAAGCTGCACCTAGCGCATTTCTTGCCGACTTTAAACGACACTTGGCTTACTCACGCCATCCAGAACACACGAGAAGTCCAACGAACCTTCGAATCGGCAAACCTGCAAGAATACATCACTCCCTGCACAGTGTTTTGCGGAATTCACCCCTCACCAGTGGAGCTCCAGCAGGTTCAGGAAGCCATAGCCAGTGGCAGTGGCTGGCAATGGCGAAGTACGCCACTGCGAAGTGAGGATCACGTAACCTGTCGTTGGGCTGTGTCTGCTTTGCGCAGACTCGCACCAGACCGCCATGAATTGATTGTCATGGCTGCGGACAAAGCCACGTGCTTTCGAAAACTCCTCTCTTACAGCCTTTGGCCGGGCTTTGGCAAGCATAGCTCGCTTTTTCGTTTTTCGAAGCTGTTGGGGGAGAGAGAGAGTGTTCAATCAACTAATAATTATTACTTGGCTTACTCTACTGGTGGGTGCACTGACTCGGTGTAAATCATGTAACGAACGTATAGTACATGATGTACATGATTCTTAAAGTGAAACAACTACTTGTACCAGTACTACGCTCTCTGGCTTGGCGGCATCCAAGCACTAGCTCTCGGCGCAATGCATTGTGTTACTGTGCGACTGCTATAACATGCATCCCGGTAGTAATTTCAATTATTTGTACGGCACTACGAAGGGTGGGTCCTCTTTACTGTTCACGACGGCCTCTTCAGGTGTGCATTTCGCACTCTCGCTGTGTACCAGGGAGATACTCAGAGGAAAGGAGGTGAACACTTAGCCACAAGTAACAACGTTAGTCACAGGTGGTGAGTTGATCCCAAAGCTGACAAGTACTTAGCATTCCAGGACATGAGAGTGCATGACCGTACAAGAGGCACTGCCAAAGGGGAAGGTAGGCGCTTGGTGCCATTTAGCTGCACACAAGCTTCATTCCAAGGCTCCATGGACTGATGAGGACATTTTTGTAAGTGCTCTGAGTTGGCAAGCATGAAAAAATGGTGCAAACAGAGAAACGAGAAATGTGATGAAAGTCTAAATGATTCATCCAGTCCTAAACAATAATGCAGATCATGTGCTATTTCGAGAAAACAAATTGTCTTCCTAAATGTATAGATGAGGACTGAAACCATTACATGTCATGTGATTGTATGCTATTACTTACTCATCTGTTATCGCTCATTCCTAACAATCTTATAAATAGGCGACGTGGAGACATTTTAGTGTGACGACTAGTAACGAAGTGGACATAATGTAGCATGGAAAATGGAGTAGTGTTCCGCACAAAGGACTAGTCAGAAGGTAAACATCCACGATGGCTTCATCATTCAGCTCTACTGGGCTACTACTAGTATAAACAATTCAGTGAACGCACGTGTACATGTACATGTATCACGTGATACATGTACATGTACATGTATCACGTGAAAGCCGGAATTCGAAAATCGACTCACTAATACTCACTAGGGAGACACTGCAGAATTGAGCGCAAATGATTATGGCACAGTTGTGGGTGAAGTAATCTATTCATGATGATCATCGTGGTGGTCGTCATGGCTATGATCCATATCATGATCATCCATAAGACCAGTTTGATTGAGAGCCATGTTGAGCAGACCGTGGCCGTGACCACACTCCTCCCCAGCATGGCCATGGTGAGGCTCATGGTGCAAACTAACCAGAGCGATGATGGCGAAGCCGAACACGATCAGTGCCAAGCGCATCACATGGATATCAGATTCGCCCGGCGAGTGCTTTCCTTGAATCTCGGGGGAAATGATTTCCAGGAAAGTAACGAACAGGAACGTTCCGGTGGCAATTCCTTGCAGGCACGCTGTAACAAGCTGGCGGTCAACTTCATTGGTTGCATTGGCTTCGACAGCGATACCAATCGCCCCACCGATAGGACTCATGCCTGCAAAAAGCAATGCAGCCAGCAGGATTCTTCTTGTGGTAGCCTTCAACTTGACCATGCGTATGCCAAGAGCGAATGCCAGCACACATTTGTGCAGCAGAATGGCAATGAAGATCTCGATAACACCGTCAGTGTCACTTTGCAGGCCAAGAGCAAGGCCCTCGAACAGCGTATGCAGGGATAGAGCAGCGAGCAGCACAAGCGACCCAAGTGTTTCTGTGGCGGCTTTTCCAGCTGGGTTGTCTTCTGGTGTGGATGTACTGGTAGATCGGGATAGGTCAGTGTAAGGTGTACCGTTTGTGGATGGCCTGATGGCGGCTTCACAATCATTTCTTGACTCAGGATGTTGTCCATTGTTACACGTCGGTGGGACGCACGTTGAAGTAAGCGTCGCCCGTTTCAAGTCCTGCTCGTTCTCTTCCAGGCAGTTGTCACAATTATTGATCTCTCGGTCGCATCCATGAGGCGGAATGTTCGCTACTTTGCACTCAGATGTTGACCTGCGCTGATGAAATAACAGCACCAGCTGTTCAAACACGAGAATGAGCAAAAATCCACCAGCGACAGTCAGCTCCGTGAGGGGGTAGTCGATATCAAGGTCTTTCTCACACAGTACGAAGTCGAACATCTCCCGAACATCAGGTATCAGGTGGAGGAGCGCCACTCCCAGGAATATACCTCCCGACAAGCAACTAGCAAGACTTGTTGAGGCTCGCCTCCATCGTCCACCGCCCGTTGACCATGAGGTCAAACGAATTGGCAAGGCGGTGAAGAATATTGTCAGAAAGAACAAACCCACAATGCACACGACCTTCACTATAACAACATTCATTTTCGCAGCTCTACAATCATGTACAGTACTTCGGTTGGAAAGGTTTGAGACTCTGCCTGACAGTCCGCGAGCGTTCACTGTATGTTGTTTTAATACCGGACAAAGTCGGAAGCACCGGAAGACGTTTATGTCATCGTCATCTTCGTCTTCTACGAAAAAACATCGTCGTTTTTATCCCATCAGACTGACGAGGAAATAGGAAGACGCTTTGCCTTTTCAAGCGACTCTCTTTCATGCGCAATCCTGCGGCAGGCTGGGCTCGCGCTCGGACCCATCCTGCCAACCATTGACATTGTATTGAACCAATGCCGGGGGTGTGGGGCATGCTAGATACAGGTACGTGTACATGTACATACAGTGTCAGTAGACTAATTTATACAGTCAGTTAATTTACTACGTTCCACTTCCAGCTGGAGTAGAGTGCGATTGGCTAGCTGGAGGATTCGATGTAATCTCGTAAATCACTCATTTTATTATGAGTGGTCAGCAGAGCTAGAGAGTAGGGACAAGTCAGAAAGCGCAATAACCCATCACGACACACACATTGTGTATCTGAGTCTGACATGGGCAGTTGGAAGGAATCCAAGTGGGTGTTAAGTGAGAAATACACTCAACTACAGTGTATTCCTGTTCATGTTGCAATCTCAGCCCTGTACGCGTGTACGAATCACTATTCACGAAACGTCGTTTGACAGGCGTGTACAGGCGTGGGCGTATTTCACAATTATTTCATTTGCAGAAAAGAAAAAGGACCAAGGAGCTACAAGTTACGCTATAATCTCCACTAACACCACCAGTTACTAAACAATCAGCTCATGCGATAACATTGCAAGACACTGACCGACGGTACTGACGTTCTACAGCTAACTGCAATGTAATGCCATGAGCTGATTGTTCAGTAACTGGTGGTGTTAGTGGACATAATAGCGTAACTTGTAGTTCCTTGGTTCTTTTTCTTTTCTATAAATTTATTCTTGGCTCTCCATCCGAGTCCATTTCACTTACATGTATTTGTTATGGAAACACTGGCACTCGACCTCTGGTCTTGTTCGACGGGCGGTGGGCAGTGATTAGGCGATCTCACACTCGCATTCTGGCTGGATTCCATACCGTTCTGACACCAGTCATTGCACTCTTCATGTGCATGCACATCTACATGTATGACTGTGTAATCAAACCAAGTACAGTGGTCCCTCTATAATCCGGCACCATTTGTGCCACGAAAATCTGCTGGATTAGGGAGGGTGCTGGATTAACAAATCTGATTTACTGCTGCAATGTGCATGAAGAGGATATTTTGGCTACTGAAAATTGTGCTGGTTTATCGAGGGTGCTGGATTATAAAGTGCCGGATTAGAGAGGGACGACTGTACACTGTATTTCGTCACCAATGATAGTATCATCAGTGCATGTTCACATCATTTACTCATATACATGTACATGTATCGGTACATGCAGCATGCTTTCTTTTACTTGTATTGTGGTGTCTACTCAAAATTGAGAAGAAGTTTGGAGGTTTCCTGCAGTTTCATAGTTGACATAGTAGACACAATAGGGTGAACTCACCCATTCCACAATAGTCTGCAAATTTCCGAACCATTCCATTATATACAACGTTTCGGCCAATGGTCTTCTTTAGGTAGTCTACTCAAAATTGTTTTAAATAATAATACATGTACATACCGGTAAGACTAATAATACACACCGGTAAGACTAATAATACACACCGGTAAGACTAATAATACACACCGGTAAGACTAATAATACATCCTTGATACTTGATGAGAAGGGAACGAAAACGTTTGGATATTATAGCAAATGCCCTATTTGACTGTATGTACGGTATAATGACCATTGCCGAAAATTGTTCTTTACGTCGTATATCCTACCTATATTTGATTACTGTGACACAGCGTGGTGCGGTCTGTCTCAGGCCCTTGTTCAAACTCTGGAAATACACCAGCGTCTGCTTCTAAAAATCCTGTTTCGCAAAAATCAAACATTCTCCTCCCAACGTCTCTACAGTTTAGCTTCAGTATCTCCCCTCTTAGAGCGACACCAGCAACATCTTTGCATCCTTGTACACATGATCTTATTGGACCTGGCTCCAAAACACTTTGCTTAGTATAACTGGTTTGTGTCCACCAGATCAACACGTCATTCCTTCTCATTATCCCGTGCCAATACCTCCCTGTTTCTGAAATCTCCTATCTTCTCTGCGTACACTCTCTGGTCTTCCCTGCCAACTAGCCTTAAAGCATGCACAGACATTAAGGAGTTCAAGCTTCAGCTTCTTCGTCCTAAATAATCTCACCATTTTCGTCATGCCTCCCCTTGCAGTACTCTCTTTGTTTCTCTCCTTATTATTCAGTTCGCCGTGGTTGGCTACCACCCGACTTCTCATATATATTGGCAGTCTTCTGACGAGCCAGGAGATGTTGAATTAATAATAGTAGAAAGGAAAAGGACATATGGAAACGAGTTAAGAGTAACTCTCCACCACTGTAACTAGATACTATATACAGTCAGAAAGTGCAACAACTAGGCACAAAACTGACATAGTACTGAGACATTCGACGTCCTGACACCTAGCTTCAACACATCTCCGTAGCGCTAACCGACAGCCTTCCAACTTTGGTCTTTCCATAACCTTGAACCTTCCAAGTTGGAAGGCTGTCGGTTAGCGCTACGGAGATGTGTTGAAGCTAGGTGTCAGGACGTCGAATGTCTCAGTACTCTGTCATACCCGAGTTTCAAATTATTAATAATAATAATGTGTTTGCGTGGATACTTGCGAACTGATACGTCATGTACTTACCTTCGTTTGGAAATAATTATCCGCCTCCGACCTCTCCTAAAAAAAGTAATACACACTTATAATTATGCAATGTACACATGCCGTTCATTCTCTGCACTCCCATACTGGATCAGCGGGCTTGGATCTCTCATCAAGCTAGCTCTCCTTGGCGGATTAGGTCTTTTGCCGGTTTAGCTCCATGGCACCTGTCTAAGCAGCCTTCATCTCCATTAGCAGTATCTCTGCTCAGTGCTCAGGAAAACGCATTACATCTTGCTGTGGAATGTAAAAATGTAAAGTATTCATTGTCAATTACTCCAAAGTACATGTATGAATAGAAGAGGTTGTAGCGACTTTGGCGATAACAACAGACGGTTCCTCTTTGTCAGTTTTGTGCTAGATCGTGCACCCGTCACTGTTCCAGATCGGATTTAGTTGGTGGGCTCTAACGCTGCCTTCGGATTCCCCTCTTTGCACCAGTTCACCACAGTTCCCTCCTCCATCACGCAAAGCTTCCCACCCTTAGCTCACGACCGTCGAGTCCTTGTTAAGCAAACCCTACTAGCATGGGACATCCACCACCAAACCTCCCCACCCACCTGCAACAAGCACATCTTGCAACACAACGTCAACACCAACCATACACCCTTCGACAGACAAGGACCTACTCCATCGGACTCTCCGACCTTGGCTCACCATTTGAGGTCACGTTCGCATCCTTAGAGCCATCATGAATGTACGGCGACACGATGGCTGTGTGATATGCATGAACGTGACATTGATGATTGTGTATGTGAGTACAACCAAGAGTATAATGGCCTTAGTAACAGCATGGGAGCTTTTTAAAAGTATTACATGTGCTTGTATACTCCTGGTACAGTACTACCGTAGTAGTGCCATGCCAGGTGGCCACTGCAGTACAGCGCACAACCCAGGCAGCGAGATATAAATATTACAGGCTGTCCAACCGTCCTGCTTTGGACCAAAACATTTGTATACATTTACATGGGAGACACTTGCCTGTGTATACATTGCATATAGGTGTAGGTGTCCTGCTTTGGATTGGTGGCAAGATTGGACTGACTTTTATTAATTTTTAAGTGGTATGTACTCGTATGCCAAATGGAATCAATCCAAGGCAGTCTTCACTTCCATACTTGCACAGCTGCGAGCATTCTTTCAAGCCTTCCCAGGGGAGCTTTGATTATCCAATCGAGCCTGGCCATAAGGGCTCCCGTTTGCCGATCCAGCTAGAGAAGGTTGAGTCACCAAACACAGTACCACGTCCTCGGCATATGCAAGACATGAAGGAAACAGTAACGCCTGTACTTCAGGTCACACATGGGCATGGTAGTGTCATGGTAGTGTCATCGAAGAGCCAAGGCCAAGGGTATGTCTTCAGGTCACACATGTGCATGGTAGACTCGTGTCATTGAAGAGCCAAGGCCGCAAGGGTTTGTCAGACGTTTTGATCCTTCCCCAGGTATAAGCCTGACGTCGTCCACTTCGGTCAACGATATCCCCGCTTGGAACAAACTGATGGCTTCTTCAGACCGCCTCATATCCTAGTGCGGTCAGCCGAAACTACTGCACTTTACTCAGTCTTTAGGCCTCGTGAGACTCGGGTCTTTTGCCCTAGTTTTGGCTTCAGTGCATGATATCTGTGTCAGCTCTCTCCACAGATGGCTTTCGCGATACAGTCGAGGCTAGCCACAGCAAGTCGAAGATCTCGCCGCTGTTCAGTGTTCACCATTATCGAAAATTTGGAAAACGTCGGACTCAAAGTGAACGATCGCGAATTGTAAGATCACTGTCCACCATTTTTTTCCCCACAAACTAAGAGTGAGATTGTTTAACGATCCACCAGGCATAGGTCAGGGAAGATTTCACGTCCGTGGCCACGAGAACATTTTCCCATGTACATCTGTAAGCTACGCTGTAGCCTGTCTGTAGCCTAGGGACAGGAAGTGAAGGTGCACACAGTCTAGACCAGTATGATCAAGTGTTTCAAGGGTTTGTGGACGGAGGCGAATGCACCGCAAGTACAATCCGCTGAGCTGTTTTCAAGCCCATTGCTGTGGGCAGGGATGTGTGCGGAAGAGTTGTCAATGTACAATGTAAATGTACGTGTACGTACTGTGTGTGCGCTGCATGCATGTGGTGCATGCGCATAAAAACTAGCATTTCTGCTTCAGCAAATCGCTTCACTGCCAGTTAACTTAACTGCCACCTTCTGCATGGTCTCCAGAAACCCCTGATTCTGCTAGAAACCCTGCCGGAAGAATCCAATATTTGGCAGCGCCGGGGTAGGGGGAGAAAGCGCTTCATTTTCAAATCAAGGGCCTTGGGAAGTGCAGCGCTGGGTAGCGTGGTGACCACAGAATCAAGCACGGGGGGGGGGGGGGGGGAGTTTGTCCGGGTTCATGTTGAGTCCCTTGAGATCTCAGTGGAGCTCCAGGACAGTAAGATCATCCTGAAGGTCCTGGTTGTAGCATAACAGAAAAGTCCATTCCAATGACAAACAAGGCAATGTCATCTTCATAGCAGAGAGTCTAATGAAGAGTAACCAGAACGTTTTCTCGTGACAATCATCAGTGGTTTAATTAACTTTTCGTCACTAAAAGTCAAAGAGAATACGAAAGTATAATTATTTCAAATAGCCATGCATGTGACTCGCCCTAAAGCGCGAATGTAACCATAGAAGGAAAATACGGACGAGAAAATCATTGTAGTGAAGTAATAATTGCTTGTGAGCATGGGTTGACTTTGGGTTTTTTCTAAGCATCTTCCTGATCACGTTATCATGGATTTTCAAGAAAGTTCTTTCACAATAGTAAAATTAAAATATTCCTAAAGAGAGAAAGAGAAAAAAATAGGAAAAGGGGAGGTAAAAAAAGAGGGGAGCTCCGGAGAGAGAGAGAAAGAAATTTTACTCCGAAATGTTTCAACTTTCTTTCATGATAACAGAATGTCATGATAATACAATGTATATAGAAATTTTTCTAGGAACTCTCCAACTCCAAGTGAACTTACAAGTGAAGACTGTCCGTTTTCTTGCCAGTTGTATGACCAAGATGTGTGGGTTCCAGGTCATTCTTCTGGCTGTATTAATAATAGTGTTGAAACGATCTCACCGGATACTCGTTAGCTCGCTCGCCAGAAACTCGGCTCGTTTGTGCGGCCAGCTCGTTTGCACTAACGAACACCGTACACCATGGTACACCGTACTCCGTACACATGGCAGTACATGTCGACCGGGGAGTCGTAAAATATTTTACGATTCCCTGGTCGATCGAGAGTCCAGTCCCTCGCAAAGTGAAAATCACTCGCAGTTACAGGTGACTGTATGCCTGCACGACACTTGAGTTGTTTCAGTTGTCGTTGCAGCTTTGGTGGACTCTACTGATGTCTTGTTCCGCATCTGCTGACCTGTCGCAGGATATGCTTCGGTCACCTCTCCATTCGAGTGAGAGTTACGCTCAGTCGTTTGGAAGTTTTCTCCCGCGATGCAGCGAAGACCAGGGCTACTTGCAATCTTTGCAAAACGGTCTATTCTTACAAAGGCTAATCGACGACGGCGCTGAAAAGACATCTCGACACCAAACAGCAGTCCGAAGTGAAGCAGCAGCAACCCCAAATGCCGGCGGTGATAATTTGAACCAGCTGAAAAAAATCGAACTTAGAAAAAAAATATTCAAAAAAATAATCATATTTGCCACATCAATGAAACTCGTTAGCTCGCTCGATAGCTTGCTCGTTAGTGGAACTGATCGCTCGTTTGTTATAGATACGCTCGTTTCAACACTAATTAATAACTTTAAAATGGTTCATGCTCATCTTCCCTTCCTCATCAATGAACTGATGTCAGGCGAAATATTGGCAAAAATGTCATTCATTTTGTGCAGCCAAGAGCCTGTTGGCGGAATGAAAGTGTTTACCAGGGTAATTGGAAAAAAAGATGTGATGTTAAAATTAATTTCATATTTCACTCATGTTTCATTATTAAAAATGATCCAAGGAGCGCAGAGCATGAATGCAATGGGCATGGCCGGGCATGGTGCATACAGAAGACCACTGTGCCAGTCATGTTTGAATGTAGGAATACTCCTAGAACCAACAAAGACCACTACTGAACTAGATAAGTGATCCAATAACAAGACTTGGATACATGATTTTTCCGGGGTAATTGACAAGAATTTCAGGATCTTGTGAGATCAACTAAAGTGCAGGATACTTGTCAGCTCAAACATATTTCTACGTGTACATCGTTGTGAATGTCAGTGAAGTCGAGATGTGTATGGTTGCCCTAGACGTAATACTACAAGGAACGCTAGATACTACAGTCCTGCTCAGCGAAATCCGATCGCTTGACCGTTACTGAGTTCCGCCCTGCACCACTTCACATCCCTGTGTTCTTTTCAAAGTGTAGGGCTGCACAGTGCCCGCTGTGGCGTTGACTTGTTTGTTCGGAATTAATTGAGCAGTACAGCAGATTGCCTGAAAAGTGAGTAAAAACTAACAGCTATGCAGTTGTGAAATCTCCTCACCTAATTACCAATCACGATCACCATCAACATTTCAGGTACGGGAAGCACCCAACTTTGTCTTGAATCACATAGTTAAGAGTTGGGGAAATCGCTTGGCTGCCGGGGACACAAGAAGACCTCAGTGTCGACAGGGTCACTGCCATGGTTTCAGTCCAAACAGGCACTTGCCGACATCCGATAGTTCAACTGAAGCAAGGTCCACCTGAACAACAACAAAAAACGAGTGCACAAACCCGGCAAAGACAAAGTACAATTTTTACTTACTGTATTTTCAGGAATATAAGCCGCATTTCAAACAACAGTGATTCACCTAAAAAAAAAGACAGTCAGCATGGCGTATGTTCGATGGTCAAATTGACGGTGATAAGCAGGGCAGATGTCTGTATTTTGTGACAAAAAAACCTGTGTGCGGCTCATACTCCAGCTGGGTTTAAAATACTCCGGAGAATAAGGTACTTGCCATCTCGTGAGTCACAGTACTTGCACTAGACAGAATATCACACCACTATATGTACTCCTGTGAGGATGCTTGCGAGGAGATAGGCAATACAACTGGCACACTCATTGTCAAAGCAAAGCTCCTGGACAAGGCAATGTGTCGACATGGCAAGGTGCTTTAAGGAAGGAAGTTGTGCTCGCTGATAAGACGACAAGCATGACTTTCTTGATTTGGCAATGATGTAAGCGAGCTATCTCAAGATCAGCTGCAAGTTGGTAATTGCATGAATATGCGGCACTTCCAGTCAGAAGTAGGTGGTTGAGCACAACACATTTACACTGTGATGGCAGCGGGCATTGAACGTCACCCGTACACTGTTGACTAACAACGCAGGTACATACCTTGCCCTGTACAACCTTGGCTCTATTCTTTGCTTGAGTTGTGTCCAAGTCCAGAGCGGGGAACATCTTCATGAACTGGCAGAATCTACGCACGTGCAAACACACACAAACACACACACACACACACACACACAAACACTCACATTTTGGTGCACAAATGACTCAAAACATATGGCACACTATATAAGTAGGTTTGCCAGATACAATCCTTGAAGTCCTTGCAACAAGAATATCATTTATAACTCATTTGATATCGTTTTTAAGAGGTCTCTAAGTTTTTTTGAATCATTTTCTAGAACTGTTTCGACAAAACATTCAATAATTATAGAATACAGTTCATTGCCTGATGATCGTAGTAATACGTGAAACTCAGAGTTGCGACACAGCTTCCAATCTCTCTTCTGTAGTATACAGTTCAAAGTTGTTTATCCGGTGGTCAGATATCCGGCACGTCGCTTATCCAGCAGCGCACTGACACTGACATTTTTTTATGCTAAATTACACTCAGTCTGCGGACAGAACTGTTTCGTCCTTTGTGGACTCATCAGCGCAGCACAGCACATTTATGCTAAATTACAGTCCAACTTCCATGTGGACAGTGAGCACCATGAATGTTGCCTTGATGCGGCGTCAGTACCGTTACATACAAGTACAAGAGAGTCTGTAGAGATGAGCAGGGCGACCGGCTCTGGGTAATATCAAGAGTGCATAAACAAGCGTATGCAACTGTGGTTATGGGTCAGTGCGCGGCGCGCTGCCTTCATTACGTAACTTGCCTTCACCACGCTCTGAAAGCATGCACTCAAACCCACAATTTCTCGTGCCAGCCCATCAGTTTTTGCTCGATTCATTCCAGCACCTATGCGATCTCTGAATTTTGGCGCATGAACTCCAGTTCCACACGAAAGTTCATTTCAAACCAGAGGGAAAGTGCAGTGCTTAATTTTCCGCAGTGCGCGGACTGCAGCTGAATGATGTAATGAAGGCAGCATGCCGCGCATCTGGCCCATAGAAAAGAGATCACAGTTGCATACTCTTGTTTATGGACTGTTGGTAACACCAGTAACAGAGCACCAACATACAGGTACAATCATGTTTTACTGTCCGTTTGATGTGTGAACCGTGAACACAAGATGACTATGCAGCTTCAGTTATCCAGGATACCGGTATTCATTTATCCAATATGGTTCAGTGGAGGGTGCTGGATACCCAATCCAACATGGTCCAGTGGAGGATACCGGTATTCATTTATCCAACATGGTCCAGTGGAGGGTGCTGGATACCTAGCACGCAGCTGTACTTGGTTTCTACGGCATTCTTCCTGATAAGGACTGCGTGAAAAGTTTGGTATGGTCAGAAGATTGGAATTGCGTTCTATTTCGTGTTTGAGCTTGGCTTTGCCAGAAGCTGCACAGTTCAGGCGGCCATCAGGGAGTTCCCCTTGGCATCCTGCTCTCAGAGCTACTTACCTCAGGTTAGAGCTGCTGTTGGGTGCACTGCCGTGTGCCATGCGCTGGTCCCACACCACAATACTGCCGGCACGCATGGACACGCGCTGCGCTTGCTTGTACAGAGGGTCCTCGCAATCTATGGGTACGAAACTCTACACGATAGCACAGCCATAGCAAAAGTTGAATGGGAGTCTGCAAAACAGTAAGCAAGAGCTGAACAAGCCAAAATAGCATTGCTTAGCACCGAAATGGGCAAGCAAGGAAAATAGCACATGGTTGTTTGCAAACTGGTCATCACTCAGACTACACGTGCCCAGTAGTAGACCCCTGTTACTACCGGCCCTACTCACCCACCGGCCCTACTCACCCACCGGCCCTACTCACCCACCGGCCCTACTCACCCACCGGCCCTACTCACCCACCGGCCCTACTCACCCACCGGCCCTACTCACCCACCGGCCCTACTCACCCACCGGCCCTACTCACCCACCGGCCCTACTCACCCACCGGCCCTACTCACCCACCGGCCCTACTCACCCACCGGCCCTACTCACCCACCGGCCCTACTCACCCACCGGCCCTACTCACCCACCGGCCCTACTCACCCACCGGCCCTACTCACCCACCGGCCCTACTCACCCACCGGCCCTACTCACCCACCGGCCCTACTCACCCACCGGCCCTACTCACCCACCGGCCCTACTCACCCACCGGCCCTACTCACCCACCGGCCCTACTCACCCACCGGCCCTACTCACCCACCGGCCCTACTCACCCACCGGCCCTACTCACCCACCGGCCCTACTCACCCACCGGCCCTACTCACCCACCGGCCCTACTCACCCACCGGCCCTACTCACCCACCGGCCCTACTCACCCTGTCCATCATTCTCAGCCCCATGCTGTCTTTGGTTGTCTCGGCCCACTGGACAATGTGCTTGTGAAAACCCACCACCGTCTGAAAGCCACCGTCCTCGACCAAGTTGTCGGCAAAGTTGATCAAGCCTTGCAGGTTGACCTACAATGGTATCACACGGGACAAGACAGATGTAGAAGATGGGCACATGCAGCCAGGCAGGCAGTTCCGGACGGGTAAGAGAAAACAACTCGCCAGCAACTTGTACACCGTAGGAGCGTATTCGAAGATATTTTATTTCTCTGCTTGATGTCACCGTTAGTTGTTTGCCTGAGGATCGTTTTGCTTGAAACTCAAGTAGCAGACAAGAAATCGTTCTGACTTCAGTACATTCGAAAGCTCTGCAGCATGGTACTGGGCACTGTGTGAGCAGTAGAAGTCCGGGTATTGAGCAGTTTGTGAGCAATAGAACTGCAGTATTGAGCGCCATGTCAGCAATGGAAGTTGCCCACTTTGGGACAAAGACCTGTTGAGTGCCACATGATAATGTGAAAGAAAGTGGCTGCAAAGACACACAAAGACCACCTGTCTTTAGCCGCATTCCGATGAACCAAGCAAATGACCGTTATTAAAGACACGCTTTCCTGTACATGCACTTACCATGTCCTGTCTGGTGTGCGTGTGTGTGCGTGTGCGCGCGCGCGCGTGTGTGTGTGTGTGTGTGTGTGTGCGTGCGCGCGGTGATGATCTTACCCGATCGTCATCGGCAGTTCCAACCTCATTGTTTTCCTCAAAGAAATGGCCAGGATCTTCGTACGTGATCTTACTCATTGCGTCTTTCACGTTAACCGCACCCTGTTCAAAGTGCCCGTCACGCAATGAATGCCTCCATGGATTTAGCTACAGATTGAAAACAGGACACGCGAAATACAGGTACAAGTATTTCATGATTCCACCATGACAATCTCCATCTAGCATTAAATAAAGTGAAATGTCCAGAGCTACATGTATAATGGAATGAGATGACGCATGGCCGATTCAACACAGTCCATGCCAGATCAATATTGTGAGTAGTGGCCTTCCCACGCCCATTTCGCTACCTGCATGCGTACACCAGTACGTGACTGTGTCTACCCCATATCCAGCAGCAGCACAATCTCTGTATGCAATCCACACGGCACGCAATACAAACTGATTACATGCGGTTATCACAATATCATATCTCCTACTAAGCCACCGTTATAGATATTTACGTAAAGCCCTCTGCAAAGCTGGGCATTTCCCCCGTTGATGTTTCCTTTTCTCAAACAAGACAAGAGTATTCGGCAGTACATTGACACTTGCTTCTCAGAACATAACTCACAGGCGTATCCAGTGAAATCATTGCACAGTTTGCTGGTCAATGAATTACTTTAGCGTTCATTGCCTATGTACCATTAACATTATTGGGAAAGCTCCATTAAATTCGAATCGCAATGAAGAGACCGCTTTGGAAAGCTCCGATCGCAAAAAAATGCCCCATGCTCGTTGCATCCCCAATCAAAGGTAGGTTGGGCTCAGGTGATTTAAAATACTGGCAATTCAGCTCTTTCAAGTCCACAATATAATATACAGTCTTTGCACCAACGAAGGGACACATTCTATTTTATTATGGCATGCAGTTCATATCCACAATAAAAAAATAATGTTGCTGGTGCTTTTTATTTAAAAAACAAATATTTCCACTAGAATATGCATGAAACCTGTCACCACGAATAGGATACTTACATCCCAATGGAGGGAATACGACGTCCTCCATTTGTCATTCGTTTTCTCTGGATCCCCAGCCACTTTGACCGGGCGAAATAATCCGTAGCGGTCTTGACTCACCATTAGATCCTGCATTGCCAGTAAGGGACCATATACATCCATAGGTATCCACATAAACCGTTGTACCAGTCAATGATATACAATAACAAAATTTATCGTTTTATTGCACATCGTCTCCACCGTTTTTACATTGCATGAATAAAGTACACCAATGTCGGTTCAGCTAGTTTTATTGATTGTGGTTATCAAATTATTGTCTCCTCGCCGTGTGACAAAATTTAATCGCATGAATTAATTAACTTATGTCATCAGTGCACGGTCACTGGCAGAATCTGAAAGTCTGGGGCTGCACAGCATCCGGCCCTGATCGATCACGCAATCAGATGTCAAGGAGTACGAGAATGGTCGACAGCAGAACTTATAATACCAATGTACAGTACTAGAGGTTTAGACAGCGATGCATTGTTTCTCTCGACTATGTGTCTGTACCCAGGTCGCACACTAGAATATTATTATAGTACCTTTCGTTTCATGAGCGTGGTGTACACAGAGTAGATATTGGCGTTCTGCCGGTTCAGCAGTGCCTGCTTGGTAAAAACTGGAAGGAATCCGAGAATGCTGAGCAGAGAGAGAGAGAGAGAGAGAGAGAGAGAGAGAGAGAGAGAGAGAGAGAGAGAGAGAAGTGAGATAATGATTCATGATTCATGATCATCACCACAGCCACCAAAGAACATGCAAAACTGCCCTATACTATAATCATGGTATCGAGTCACCAAAGACCCCCTAAAGAAGAGCTATACTGGTAGGTGAATTGTGTTGCAAAGAGTACAAGTGCTGGATAAGCTATTGGTTAGCCACTCTCATTGTACTTGTAATATCAAAAAAAAGTGTTTCTTTTCTCAGGCCAAGATTAGAAGCGGTGAGGCCTCCTGCAGTTTCATACAGAATTACAGATGGAGCGGACTCGCTCCCTTCTATTTACACTGCAACGTTCGAACACATTTTCGTAGTTAAAACAACGTTTCGGCATATAGCCCTCATCAGGTTTGCAATGATGTGCACTCTACAAAGGAGCAGCAAATATACTGTGCTGTGCTGTGTTTGCGCCAAATGTGTCAGCTACAAAGGTGGCGAAAGGGATTGGTGATATATTAATATCCAGATACGATATATTCACAGTAGTGCCCAGCCAGCATTAGTGTTTACTTGCGGCCGCAAGTTTGATTGCAATAAAACTGTGAACGGTACCATTCAGCTGTTTCTTTACATATGATACACGTAGAATATTTTTTACGATACTTTTCCAGACGTTTCGTCATTCTGAACAACACCGTCAGTGGATAAATATAGAAACAGCTTTTTTTGAACTGTGTTCCATCTAGGAACTGATATCAGTTTCAACTCATGACTTACCCAGCATTGGCCAATGGGGGCCAATCATTGTTCCATGTGGACGGGTCATCTCGCCTGATCAAATCTTCTGGGCGTTCCTCATCTTGCTGTGCAAGGATACAAGACAATAACATGGTGACGGTTTTCCAAGATGACATGCAGTATTGCAGTATGCATTACTTGCTATCATAGCAGAGTGGGATGACATGCGGGGTTGCAGTGTGCATTACTTGTTCTCATAGCAGAGTGGGGAGACTCACCGGGTGCTTTCCGTAGAGTTTCTCATGCTCGGTTGGCCCGTCCCACTCGCGATACCGGTACCCTCTGCCTTCCAAGTACTTCCAGATGTCGTCGACCGAGGCCTCGCACTCGTCACGACTTAGGACATCGCGGATGACGACAAAACCGTACTCCTCGAAAAACTATGCAGACATAGCACAACAGATAGCCGATATTACAAACATAAACAAGGACGGTCGAGGCAGCTCGAGGTAGAGTGCACAAAATTCAAATGTATAGAGCAGTATACACCCACACACAACAGAGGCGAACGGCTGTGTGGCTGTAACTTGAAGTTTCACGCATTTCAGCAATCATCAGACAGCAGCATTTGACATTCACCAATGCCAAAAGTCGATGTCCGATGATCGCTGAAATGCGTGAAACTTGAGGTTACAACTACACAGCCTTTTGCCTCCATTGTACGTATATTACAAACATACTTGTTAAGCACTCTCGGTAGGCTGCTCTGCTGAGTGCTGCTGAATTACGCATCGCACGCTACTTTTAGTAGTTAGAGCACTCCGGCGCTAGAGCAATGAGGTATCTTTTAATGTCTGTGGTGCCTCCTTTGCACCATGACAGGTAGCTCGGCTTACTTAAAGCTCGTAGCTGTACTGATGAGGCCCATATGGCTGAAATAGCTTGCTGTCTGTAGCATTGCATATCACAAATATATGTATGGATACTCCCAGACCCTCCACGTAGTGCCTCGAGATATGTATTGCTAAACTTGGGTTATGTTTTAGTGTATCGTCTTGTGACTGGTATAGTCTCAAACAGATAATGGAAGGTGGTGTTTTGGGTAGGGCTTTTTCACACGCACGTGCACACAATCTTGGGTTTATCAAGGAAGTACAACATTGGGAAGTCTTCCAAGCCTAACTTTCGTTATCGGAGTTGCGATAGCATTGTTCATAGAGAGCAAAAAAAAAGTACTGTAATTTCACAAATTTTCGGTGTACTTTTATTTTCGGTACTTTCGGTGAATCTGTTTCATACCTAAATTTTCAATACACCGAACAAACACTAACACACATAATCCAATAGGGAACTGCTTCTCTGTACCGAAAATTTCTGTTCACCTAACCAGGCCTTTTGCCCTCATACCGAAAATATTGAGCACCGAAAATTTCTGAAATTAGAGTAACTCTTCGTCCCTTCTAGACTCACGAGGCAATGTTGGGCATCTTCGGCTAAAGCTTGACTGAGTAGAAAGGATACAGGACTCCAATTCAGCAAAATACATAGCAGAGTACGGGACACCAAACAAATTAACGGTATTATGCATTCTAACATAGCTTGCTTACCGATTGAAACTCTTCCTTCTGGTCGATTGAAAACGACTTCACGTAGCGAGTGTCATCTTCATCCAAGGGAATGTCGACTTTCGGAGCCACGTAAACAGCCGCCGGGTCAAACGGCTTTGCCGGTGGCCTTTCCACTTCACCTAGTAGAATGCAGATTGAACAAGACAGGCATCATCAGATTGTTTGGGGAAGCATGTTGCACAATGTGCACGTGTGTGATGTGCAATGATGGGTTTTATGTGTCTTCACGTTTCATGGTCAATTACTGCTAGTCACCGATGCTCATACTTCGATGGAATGGCATTGGTCTTCATAGAACGTGTCAGCATAGTGCGCCGTTGCCACCGTTCAGGTGACCTGGTCTATAAAGCGTGATGCACATCATCACTTCTACGACGCGATGCGATCGAGAGCTTTTTGAACTTTTTCTGCAAAATTATGCATCACAGGTTGTCGCAGCTCCGTCGCAGGTCGCATCGTGGGAAGCTGAGCTAAGTTCAACAACTTCATTTTTTACACGGCAGGCGCACGTGGCACAAGTGCTCCGGCTCGAGTTCTTTGAATAGAGTACTTTTTTAGTACTCCCGATGATCCCTGGGTGATCATAGCCATAAAGGAAGTGACGTGGGACAGATGTACGAAACCAGGAATCACCGGGAGTACTAAAAAAGTACTCAATTCAAAGAACTCAGTCACTGCAATGACGTCGCACAAGCACTCAACAGATAATTTTAAAATTGAGAATTTCGAAATAGTCTTACATGCAGTGGTTGAGGAGCTCTCCGCTGCACCCATCTCTCGGACTCTCTATCTCACTACCAAGAATGAAAGAGGATTACCCTCACTGGGCCTCAGTCTGTCGTTCACTGGCTCTCCTGCCTCTCCTTTTCAAAGGACAACAACGATCTCCGTAGCTACACTGCACGAAGATCCGAGGCTCAGACTGGTATGAATGTTTCAGAACAATCTATCCAGATTCTTATGACTCCGTTCGCTGATATCGCTTTGTTTTTGCAAATGTCAGCGTTTCATCAGGACAAGCTTCGGTTCGCCAGGCTGCAGGCCAGACGTGAACATACTGGCAACTGCACTGCATGTAGTCTTTGTAGAAGGGTCGCCGGACTCGACTGGCATGCAGCACGTCAAACGGACAAAAGCCCTATCAACACTGGTCACTGGATTCGACAAGCGGCAAGGGGAAGTCCCTCTGGCTTCGTACCAACTACACTACAGTCTACAACTACAACTTGTAGCACTGTATCTTGTGTCACTTGAACATGGGCAAGCTGCAAGTGCAAGGTCCAAGCCGCAGACTGGCAGTGCACTGCCGGGTTGTTCTTCTTGTCTGTGTTAGGTAGTACTGTAGATCTACGCCAGGTATGCTGGGCGTTTTCCTGAGTCTGAATAGCCCTGCAGCCTGGATCATGGTTTGCTATTGTATAATATTATGACTGTGTGTAGTAGTATGATACAGTCATGCACATGTACATGCAATGTCCCCAGCATGGTGACAGCCGTGGCATACAGCTTTACAGGTCTATAATACTAAAAAAATGTTGCTGGAATAAAGTATCAGTCAGAGTGAGGAGGTGGCAACAGACTCGGCCATTATCCTGTAAAACTCCACAACGCCACTTTCCGGAAATGTTGAATAAATACATACATATACAAATGGAGACCAAGGGAACTCCCAAAGCCACCGACACCCTGATTCTGAATAACCCACTGTTGCAATGACTGAATACCCGGCATCAACGACACGGGTAGGGGCACGAAGGGGAGTGTGTGTGTGTGTGTGTGTGTGTGTGTGTGTGTGTGTGTGTGTGTGTGTGTGAAAAGAAAGAAAAAAGACCAAAAATAGGGATTCACTGGCCAGAAAAAGTCACTTCAAATAGCTGTATGGTGTAGACCAGGCTGAATAGTGACGGTCAATTCTTCAGCCTTGCAAGCTGTTGAATGGTGCAATCCCAGCACAAGTTGCTATGGCATCTGCCGTAGCATTGCTATCATCGCCTCCGGCGATGGGCGTCAAAGGTCAAGGTGTGTGTGAGAGAGAGAGAGAGAGAGAGAGAGAGAGAGAGAGAGAGAGAGAGAGAGAGAGAGAGAGAGAGAGAGAGAGAGAGAGAGAGAGAGAGAGAGAGAGAGAGAGAGAGAGAGGGAGAGACGATGTGTGTGTGTGTGTGAATGCAATGTATGCGAGATCTGGACTCCGGCCAAAACCCGCTGCTAGTCTGCCCGATTTCCTCTCTTTTTGGTTGCGATTAAAACCTGTTCATCCTGTACTGTGTTCCTCAGTATGCTCTGTGTATGACTGCATACTGAGCCCTGTAAGACTGTCGGTGGGCTAGAAGATAGCGCTTTAAAATCGTACTTGTGAACTAAAGTTACTTGATCATACGCGAAAAATGCTTCATTGAACCAGCCCCGTCCCGATGTCACTCTATCTGGACCATGATCATTACGCGGCTGGCGTTCACGTCGCCGTACACAAGACAACGGCAGTGCCGCGTGAGTTAACCCCAAACATCCTGACAAATAACTCGGCCTTCGCACCGGGCAAATTCAGTGTGAACATGTCCCCGGCCAAAAAGAGCGCTGAGCCACAAGCTCAGCCTGGCCAGTCAACCTCAATTGATTTACTGGGGTGTTTGCTTTGGCATAAAAAAACCCATAGTTTTCCCTTTCCTCGACCAATGAATATAGAAATAGCATCTGACAGAAAAATAATTGGGTCAAACACCAGAAATAAACGGGAAAACAACGACTGCAAAATAATGATATGGCCACATGTGTAACCATGGCAATTTGAAAATGTCAAAAAAGAACCAGCAGTTCGAAATCAGTATTCTGACTACCGGCAACACTGCGGCCTGCGCAGTATTGCTGATGAAAGTATTGCTGAACTGGAATACAAGGTAATAACTCCGGGGCATGTGTGCAAAGGGTAGGAGCATGCGACAAAGTACCTGGCAAAGTAACATGAGTCCAGATGAGCCCCGGTGCCGGCGGCAACCACCTTCCTTTTTTCCAGGCTAACATGCGACGAGGCTCACTTCCAAACTCGTAGTGATCAGTGCCCTGCATGCCCTGATCAGCGCCAGCATGCGCCCATCCTACGTCGGCATCATGCGGCTGGCAATTATGAATGGTCACTCGGAAAGCTTGTCTTGCCTGCGACCTGTGTCAGCAGGACCAGTGCATAGGAAATGCCTGTAACATAACCAGCATACATGTACTCCAGTGCCTGCTCCGTCTTGATTTAATTGGTTGCTGAACGGAACCGCCGACACTGATCTTCAGGTGTGCTCAATCACCGGCGTGATGGTGAGCTCAGTCGCTAACACTACGGACTGGAATTGTTGACAAGGCGTTTGACTCGACGGGAGCTCACCACTCTCGGAGAGAGAGAGCTGCCGAGAGAGTAAGCTAGGAGCAATGTTGAATGGCAGGGCTGCACCGCCCGGTGAATGGCAGGGCTGCACTGCTCGGTGAATAGCAGGGCTGCACTGCTCGGTTAGCATGTTTCCAAGCACTTGAAGTCAGCTAACACACTCAATGGTGCTTAAATCTAATGTCAAACTTCTGAAACCCACCATACACTGATACAGCAGTAGCCCTAGTCATGGCACTCAGATAAGCCTGATACTGCTCCATTCCATCGTCTTGCTAAGACGTTAAGATGGTGTAGCCACAGGATACACACATGCTTCATTGCGCCGTGGCATCCTCAGAGCACTTGGTCATGGCTGCACAGGGAATCGAAGCGGACGCCAAAAAGCAAAGCATAGTTGGACACATACTCTGTGAACACTCATGGGGAAGAAAGAGCTGTGCAGCATACACTTTTACATCACCGCGACAAATCTACTGCTTATTTCTGAAGTACAGGCAATGTGTCCGCACTGTCCTGGGTGCATGTGAGCTGAAGTACACAAACCAAGTATGTGGCTTTTGAGTAGGTTCATTCACGTATTTTCACGTTTAACAATGCACATGTGGCCAAAGAAACACAGGTACACACACAGTAATGTACACATGCACATACACACATGCAAACAAACAAGCGGCAAACACACACACCATTGGACCATTGGACGCCCATCGCCGAAGGCGGTGATGGCGATGCTACAGCAGAAGCCAGAGCAGCTTGTGCTGGGATTGCACCATTCAACAACTTGCAAGGCTGAAGAATTGACCGCCACTATTCAGCCTGGTCTACACCACACAGCTATAAAGTGGCTTTTTCTGGCCAGTGAATTCCTACTTTTTGGTCTTTTTCATTTTTTTCCGCACACACATCACACCACATTCGCCGGCATGCACTGTCTGTTGGTAACCACTCAGGAGAATGAAAGAAAAGTCAGGAAAAGTCTGAGAAAGAGAAGAAAGACGTGTCTGACCATAATCACACACACACACACACACACACACACACATCATGTCACGCCTTGTACGTACCATATAAACTTGAACAAGACATGGCCGGCTAGAACACACTCCATGGCCAGCATAGCTAGAGCCCAGTAACCAATTATCAGTTCCACACGCAATCTGCAGTAAGTGGAAACAGGACAGAGTCACAGAGGAAATGGGTAGACATGAAATGGAGGGATTTACAGATACATCAATGCTTGTTTTGAAAACAAAATTGTACTGGTATTTTTTTTAACCATTAGCTTTACAATCACAATGATTTTGGACAGCATACGGCAAGATAAACTCCCCTAAGAGCAGAGGCAATAATTGATTGATTCCAACTCGACTGACACACACGTGCGCACACACACATACACACACACACACACACACATGCACACGCATGTATACACCCACGCATGTACAAGCGCACAGCCCCCCCCCCCCCCCCCACACACACACTAGACGTGACAGTGTTGACTTACACGTATGTTTGCCACAGTACGATGTACAGGTAGGAGAAGAGAACAGGCAGGCAGAGTAGCAGTGAGACAATCAGTGGCACCTTGTGTTGTGTAATGTTACCTTGACTTCCTGTAAACCATACAGATGCACACTATGTGTTACGGAGGTAGCCTCAATTGAAGTATTATTCGTTCTCGTTCTGCTTCTTTGAATTTGCTGAACAGTTTTCCTCTCCATGCTCTGCTAAATCGTTGCCTGTACGCGCCACGTCTAGCGCCTTGTTTCTACACTGGCACTTAGCACCTTATTCGTCATCACGCGCTCTTCTTATCTACATGTATGTGCTAAGTGTTGGTGTAGAGGCAAGGTGTTGGATGTGGCCGCCGCTCTTGCTATAGTTCATTGGAGCGTAGGCACAGTTGTTGTTTTCCAGAGTTCTGCTTGTGATTGTATTCTTCTGAATGGTCATCGAAGTAAATCTGAGTATGGTTCAAGACAGTTAGGGCATGTTCGTTTGGTAGGATCGGGATCCCGATCCACTGGATTCGCACCCTTTCGATTGGTCGAATCCGGATCCGGATCCTTCGGATTTGGATCCGGTCAACTCACCTCAGGGAGCAGGGTTGACCGGATCCAACGGATCCAAATGTACCTTTGTGCGTATATGGCGGGTAAAACTCGTTTTTGTACACATTGTGGTACGCACACGTGGATCGAGATAGAGCTTGCTGACTTTTTGTACAATTGGCGCGGTGAGTACGACTTTTTATTACTTCGTCAACATGGCAACAGTCAAGGCTCAAAAAAGTGTCCAGTTGACTCTGAAGGATCCGACGGATCTGAGATCTGGATCCCGATCCTTACCAATCGAACATGCCCTTAGTTGCCTTTCGAGAGTATCTCTGGGTTTATTAGCCACAGTATGAAACCACATTCAACATAAACCATGATCAGCTCCGTACAAAATTCTCATGACTTTTTCGAAAGTCAAGGCCTGTGTGCACAGACTTTCCTATCCACATTTACTGTCCACCTTGCTAAGAGCCACATCTGGCTAGGCTCAGGAATTACCAGATATGTTTGAAATGTCTGTGGTGACCTCGGAAAATACAGTGCTTACATCAAAGTGCAGCCTATGAATTAAATCCAGGACGTCAAACAAGCTGCGTTCTACTAGGCCAACATGAAAATGAATCAAAGAGTATGGGCGGTTTTCCATGCTCTATAATGAATGGAAAAATGAAGTGATTCGACTTTCGTTCATAGTCTTCAATCGGAATAACGACCTAGTTGATGGACGGTATCCACTTTACACATCAATCTCCAGGAATTGTGGGGAATGTTATCTAATGCGGACACACGGTCCAGTTTGTGTTAGCATGCCTTGACTAGATTGGCCAGGTCAAGGCCAGGGTCAGCAGTTTTTTCTTTCTTTTTTCTACAGAATCCACACAGATATCTCAAGACACTGGGGTGAATAATGGAGTGTGGTGGTGGGGCCCATTAAGCTCAGCCGACCATAGGTCTCGGCTTCATAGCTCCATGGACGCACCAAAGGGATATCGGGCAGGGTAGTGACTACCGTGTACAGTCAACTTCGCTAATAACGACTGCGGATATACCGACAATTCGCGAATAATGACAGCATTTCCATGCCCAGAGCAAAGTCCCTTCCAACTGTAATACATATAATAAGACTTCGGGTATTACGACACTTCGCGAATAAGGACACTTTTTTGATGCCCCGCCGAGTGTCGTTATAAGCGAAGTTGACTGTAAGTACAAATTTTCATGCACGAAATCTTTCGTTAGATCACTCCACCAGCAGGTTCGTTACGTACTAAATTTCGTTTTTGGTCGAGGTATGTCATCCTGAACGTTCAGAAAAAAACTTTAGTTTGGTACAAACTTTAGTTATTTCGTGCCCCCTAACGAATAGAGCAAAAGTTAATTCCAAACGAAATGTTTTACTTATACAGTAGTGACGAGTGAGGTTCTGCTAAACGTGAAACGTAGAGAAATCCCGCAGAGACCACTGAGATGTCTGGGTTTGAGTCTGCAGCTTTGCGTGTTATGCCGGGGTGTTCTACACGTAGACGAGACTCTCTACGTCGTGGCACACACAAAGAAAATGCACACGGATCTACCGGGTGCCATCCAAATCAGGCAGAAAACTTCCAAAAGTGGAATGGGAAATTCCCAGTGCACATTCTACGTGATTTCTTTGCATGAACGGAGAACAAAAAAACTGGTTTCCTTTACGTTACGGCAGTGCGAAGAGTGTTCCCGGGATTCTTCACTTCACGTTCCCGTAACGCAGAGCAGAACATCACTGATATCCCGTGCCGCTCAGCCAGAGCTCAAGCTGATCCTCGGAGTGTCACCAGTGGATATATGGCTACCAGAACACGCAAGGACATGCTCTATGTGACTGTCATGCTCTGTGGCACAAAATAATAATTTGACAAACAATTTTGTTATTCAAGTGACAATCGCGATCATGGGGCACACACATTGCCAAGTCTACACAGTGCTCATACCCAAGAAGAGCCGGCCAAGCTCCAAGAAGAGCAGGAAGATGAAGAACACAATCTCGCCTCGCAGATTTCGATCAGGGTACGGTAGAACGATAGCTGAAAAGCAAACGACATGTCAGAACACGGAGATGACAATGGTTCTTGGATACACAATTTAGACAATTGTCAACTATCTTAAAATGTGCAAGATACTCGAGGTCATTCTTCGAAGTTAAAACAGAAATCGTTATACAGAAATCGATACATATACTGTCCTATTGAGCGTTGAGGATGAGTGAGAATCGTTACCTTTGGTACACGTAAACTAGTCAATTTTGGGAAATCGTTATAATATGTGCCTCGTTAGAATAATGGCTTTTACAGTAGCTGCCTTGGCAAGGGTCCGCGGCATTTATCTCACATAGAGAAAAGGGTGAGCCAAAAAAAGCAGGATTGCTGTAGTAAAACAATGCATTTCAATTGTCTTTCTCCCTATGTGTAAGGCTCTACACCCAGGAGTATGAAACACTCTCTTGAGCTGACACAATTTGCTCCATGGCAAGTACAACATTCATCTCATAAACATATGTGCCAGCATATTGGGCTTGCTTTGGATGCCTTTTTCAGGGACAACATTCTCCTCTACGAACAATTAGTCAGTTAAACATTCTGTCTGTGGTTCCCGAGGGAACTCACGACAGCCGCTATCACCAGGAATGATTCAGTGGCACGTGCAACGTCCAACAGTGGGGTGAGGAGATATGACATCACCTCACGATTACCGTCACAAGTGAGGAAAGCCCCACTAGCCACATCCATGTACCCCACGTGCCTGGTCACAAGTAACTTCCCAGTTCACTTTGAGTAGCACTACAGCTGACGATCTACACAGTATTCTGCATAGGTAATGTTCCTTGATTGTTCTTGGCGACAGCATAGCATGCTGACATTAGTCATGCAGCTAAACAAGTTTCCATAAATGCACGTTGCAGGCATATCGGTAATGTTAATTAAACGGCTTGGGTCAACACTCTTCATGTGAGTACCCCTATTAATCAAAGTGTACAGTCTCTGACCCAGATTTGACCCCAACCTGGAATGAAAGCTCTTACGTAAAAAAACATCCTGACAGCCAACGCGTCATTAGCTACTTACTCTTGTAGACGAGGAGCAGGATTTCACAAATCCATCCAATTCCGAAAAACCAGCCATGGAAGTAGAAGAACATTTGCAGTGGCAAGGAAGAGAGCTATCACAGCCTGGTCAAGGAAAGTATGCTTTGTTCGGAGGTACAGTGTATCATTGAACAGTTAGTGCTGTGAGTGTGAGATGTCAGTGGTAGCATACCTTCATGGTACATACGAATCTGTACATCACAGCTGTGGTACTGTATAGCTGATGTGATTGGACTGGTATGGTATAGCCCAAAGACATACAAAAATTAATAGTACTCCGGCTAGATCCGTAAGGCTGTTATCCACAGAACACTCGCTACTACTGAAGAGTTTCACTGTGCATTCATTGTAACCCAGGTCTCGGCGCATCGGGTACCTCTCTAAAATGTACGTGTCAACTTTCTCAAGTTCCACCAGTTCTTAGCTACAATCACAGCGTACTGAGGACATTACCCTAAGTACAACGGACATGTCAAGTACCCCACAACGTTTGTACTTGAGCTGGTACTCAGTATGCCGCACAATGCAAGAAAAGATCATAGGTGACACGTGTAGAATGTGCCTGGAAGCGTAGTGCTTTCTACACACCATTATTAATTACTACATGTAAAGCATGCAGCAATTGAAGTCTGCACATACCAATATCATACAGACTGACAGCAGATAAAATTGGAGGACGAAATCAAACATTTTTGAAGGACAGCTTTTCATGCTGAGCATAAAATGAGCCCATACTGTCCAGTTCTTTCTAGCAATGCCATACTTTCAATATCTATCACAAAGCTTCATCCAGGAGTCGGATACTGTTGCAACGACTGGCCGATAACCTACAGGAAAGCAAAAGACAGAGACATTGCAGTTACTGAGATCGAAACTTACAGGGAAGAATGCTGGTAGCTATTGTGTACAATGTAGTAACTGTTCTGCGTTGTAGCTGTTATGTGATTGAGCGTGATAACCTCATTTGCCCAACTTCTACAGTAGGAAAGCGTCACACTCTAAGGGATAATGAGGTACATATATGTCACTCTCTTTCCCAGCCTATGTCTCCGAACTGTACAAGCGAGTTCCACGGCAGGGTATCGAACATGCGCTCGTCATTCGGTGTGACAAAGCAATCATGTACTATCGAAGCTATGCGACTACATCACCTCTAGAGTTGTTTTAAAAATTTGTAGAGAGATAGAGAGAGACAGGGAGAGAGAGAGAGAGAGAGAGAACGTGTTCTGGCAGGTGTATGTGTGTGTGTGTGTGTGTGTGTGTGTGTGTGTGTGTGTGTGTGTGTGTGTGTGTGATAGTCTGTGTGTTTGTCTGCCTGTGTGTGAACGCGCACCTATGTGTATATCTGTGTTCAAGAGTGTGTGGTCAGTATTGAACCGCCCAATGGCCAACACCCATCCCAATCTGTGTGTGGGGTTGGAAGTATGATCTCACTTATAGACCCACCCACCGCAGTAAGTGAGTTAGGGCTAGTGCAGATAAAGAATTAGCTGCCTCACAAGGGTATCCAAAAATACTATCCATCCCAGGATCATGCATGTACAGTACGAGCATACACGCGGACACTGCGTACATACAGACAGACACACCACACACGCACCATGTACACACACATCACACATACCCAGACACACGCGGCGCATCAACACACACGCACACACACAAGCACGTACATGCACGCACACACATACACACACACACACACACACACACACACACACACACACACACACCGACACAGTGACAGAGGGAGTAGCCTCCATCTCACTGATTCTGAATGTTCATGGAACCCAATTCTTCTACATGATTGTATTCTCTCCCTAAAATCTTACCGCCTGTCAAATCGGGACACAGATTCATCACTGAAGTCTTTTAGTTTTAGGGGCTGGTTTTCTCAAGCAAGAATCGCTACTGGTCATGCCGCCTTCGTCAAAGCAGCTCGTCACCCTGCCAGCTAATTCCCACCTAGGAAAGCTGTACTCGCCAACGTTTTCTTTCAATGGTTGGTCAGCAAGGAAAACCAACGCGAAAACCTCTCAACGAAAACTAATAATTATTATTATGTCTCTTGCAGTAACGGCCTGTTCGAGTAAGTCACGGTGCAATGTAGCGCGGAAAATGAAAGAAATCCAGTGCAGCGCGAGATTGATGTAAAGACCGTCCACACCCCAGTCTCCAGACCATACTGTAATCTGGTAATACCCGGGCATACTGCCCCATACATTAATACTAGTGTAGTACTAGTAGTAGTGACCTGGCCTGGTGACGAGCGTGACTCAGTCACGCTCGTCACTATGGGCACGTCACAGTGTCATGACTGAGAAGTGAGAGTGAGAGTCTGCGCTAAGTCTGTGTACAGACTCAGTGTATTCGACACACTGTCACTGTTTTTATTACAATCACTGAATCAAACAATAGGAGGACAGAGGAAGTGTTTTTACTCAGAGTTTCACGCACTAAGCGATCATCAGAAAACAGTTTTCTGATGATCGCTTAGTGCGTGAAACTCTGAGTAAAAACACTTCCTCTGTCCTCCTATTGTTTGAACCAGCTCTACCACTCGGTATTGAGCACTCTCTTGGACAGCCTGGAACCTCTCTGTTTTACAATCACTGAATCAGTAAACGTCATGACAAAGAACTCAACGCATTCAAAATGTACTTAGTAATCAGGGCTTGTTGTTATGACAGTCGGCAATACTGCTAGCATGCAATGAGAAGATCACCATGATTATGTGTGTACGAGCGCTTGTACTTGTGTCCGATCGGGCTAGCTGTTTGAGTTACTTTTGACGTTTCAACACTACCAGCCTGCGTGAAAGTCAGTCCTCATCCACCATGCATGGTCAACAAGACCCGTCAAGTACTCGTACTGTGTGTGTGTGTGTGTGTGTGTGTGTGTGCGTGTGTGTGTGTGTGTGTGTGTGTGTGTGTGTGTGTGTGTGTGTGTGTGTGTGTGTGTGTGTGTGTGTGAGGTGTGTGTACCCACACTGGAAACGGATCACTCGCAACGAATACTCGCACTTCCTGAGACATATCTGCGCAGCAGAAATCATTGGATTCCAAACATTCTAGTGTAGAGGTGGAAATAATGATAATTGGTATTCACAGAGCGATAAGTGATATCAGAAGGAGCAAACAATCTTGCTATAGTCATCACTCAATGCTATGTGGAAAATCTGAATTTAAAGAAGCAAACATGCTTGCCGCTTGTCAATAAGTGGATACAGAGGGTAAAAATTTAAATTCTCTCGACGCTAGCATTCTCCAATGCACATTACATCATTCTCTAACGCACATTACATCATTCTCTAATGCACATTACATCATTCTCTTACATACAGCACTCATACCCCGGTGCAGCCAGACTACACGTTCTGTACATGCGGGTTGGCTGCGGTGGGTTGTCTGGATGTACATGCACATGCCTCGGTACTACGGTAGCACATGGCGCATAGCACTCTCAGACTGGAAAAAACGCCAAAAGCACGAACAGTGAACGAGAAAAAAAGAGTAGTAACAGCACAAATCAATAATAAAAAATATCAGATAAGATCGATAGTCACAGTCTTGCCGCATGGCAGACAATGCTTATGTGTATTCAATATGCATGATGTTCATTCATGTCTGGGGAAAGTATTGGGGGTAGTCGTGGCATATCCTGTACGCCAGGCAGTTGTGATGCCGGCAGTGGTAGTGGTGGTGGTAGTAGCTTCACTGCTCCACAACCAATGGCCTTTATTGGAAAGAGCCTTGGCGACATCAGGTGACCGCTCTCATCAGCGAGACGCCGCAGGACTAGATCTGCGCCTTGCGCTTGATCTGGTTAAGTCGTGCGCAGACCTTCTTGTGCGCCGGGAAGTGCGTCTTCTGGCACTGGCGGTCGCAGTAGAGCACGACGGTGCAGCGCTGGCAGTAGTTCATCTTCACGTCCGGACTCTTGAACTTGAGGCAGTGACCGCAGCAGGTAGCCACGCGACAGAACCTGAAGAGCACGACTAGGTCGTCGTCGGACATCGACGTCCCGTGGAACTTGGCGGCGTGCTGCACGCCGAGCAAGGTGGCGTAGGTGATGATCTCGGTGCCGTGGAACGGAATGCCCTCGATCTCCACCACCATCCACGATTCGTCGGCGCCGAGGTTGTCCTCCCAGGCCTCGATGAACGGTGTCAGCAGTTCGTGTTCATATTGCCATGCCTGGAAAGCAAGCAAAGATAACAGGCAATCCGGTGAACAAACACACACAGAAACCAGCCAAAACAAACATACACACACAGGCTGAGTGCATAGTGGGGATGGAAGCAGCCAACACTGCATAATGGGGGTGGAAGCAGCCAACACTGCATAGTGGGGATGGAAGCAGTCAACCCTGCATAGTGGGGGTGGAAGCAGCCAACACTGCATAGTGGGGGTGGAAGCAGTCAACACTGCATAGTGGGGACGGAAGCAGTCAACCCTGCATAGTGGGAGTGGAAGCAGTCAACACTGCATAGTGGGAGTGGAAGCAGTCAACACTGCATAGTGGGAGTGGAAGCAGCCAACACTGCATAGTGGGACTGAGTGGAAGCAGTCAACACTGCATAGTCAACAGGGCTCTAGAGTGCAGAGCAAATTAGTGAAATATGAAGTAAAACTGTCCCCACTCCAAAGTTTCATACAACAATGGAATCATCAGAGGGATATCCCCTTCAGGAGTATACAAAAGATTGTTTGTGAAAGGCCATGGAACGCAGTACTCTACGATTAGTGCGGGCTTGCCCGATGTGATCCTACTTGTCAAACAAGCTGCTGCAGGGTACTGTATTCAGCTCAGCTGTTCAGAGCCAGGGTTGGGCATAGGAGCTGGCTGCTGCCACAAACTTCAATGGCATTGACTACTGTACTGGACTGGAGTAGGAGGCAAATGTTTACAGAAATTACATCTGAAGGTCCCTGGTTTGAGTTCTAGTGCCGGTGACAGTCAATGTTTTCTTCAGACTTTTCCCTTTTCCATTCCCACAACCCGTGACTCGATGATAAGAAAATACATCTGGTGCCATTTCACCAATTTAGAGCAGGATTCCACGCATGGCATTTCTCAACCAACCTTGTTCATGAGAACGAGAATCTTGCGTTCCTCCTCATCCAGCGTTGACATTATCTCTCGGTAGTCGTCCTCGTCTTTCACAGATTGCGTGTACAGACCGGTCTCCATGAAGATGCGGACCGGGTGGTTGCGCTCCAGGCCCAGGTGCCAGTCGGGAAGGCCCATACTCGGCCCGACGATCATGGGATCCGCCGGGAAGGCGGAGTAGCGACGGGCCCGCAGCATAGCGGTGTACAGCTGCTGGAAGGGCATGCCGTCGGTCTGCGTGCGCTGGTCGTAGAACAAGGCATACCAGTACTTTGTCAGTTCGTTGGCGGCGTCACGTTGATCCTTGGCTAGTCTCAGCAGCAGGCCAATACGTCGCAGCTTATTGGCCATTTTCAAGAAATCCTGATGAGGCGGCATGTACTCGGTGGATTGAATGCATAGCGATACATACGCAATTAGAACTACTACACCGTCGCTGGCATACTTGGATGTTGCAATTTTCGTGGCTTCCGTAGGCTCTGGCTGTGGCTCCTTAGGCTCTTTCTCCTTGTCCTCCTGTTTCTCATCTCTTGCCGGTACGTTGAGCCTGACCATGCCCACTTTCACCGCCTCGAAATGCCTCACCAGCAAGTCGGAAATCTGCTTCCATCCGCCGGTGCACGCCAGTGTCTGCAGGTCGAGCAGCGTCAGGAGCGGCGTGTGGTGCGCTTTCAGCATGTGGTACTCGCGGTACGCCACCATGGCGGAGGTGCGGATTTCCACGCTGTCCGATTCGCCGAGCCGCATCCTGAAGCGCCGCTCCAGGTGCCGGCAGAAGTAGAGGAGCTCGTGGAACTGCATGGCCTGCTCCGGGTCCATGCCCGGCCGCCGGACAAAGTCTATGCAGCCCTGGAAGACTACGGCGAGCGTCTGCAAGGCACGTCCCCACTCCTGCAGCTGCTCTTCAAAGTAAGCCAATGTCAGGTGAGTGGCGCACACAAGATAGTGACTGCCGGAGACCGTGGAGAGGTACGCAGCGCGCCGCAGAAAGCTGTACACCGTATCGTCCGGGAAGGCCAGAGCGAAAATGTTGTACGCGGTCGGGTTGCGAACAACCTCGCTGTCACGGATATCCGTGCAGTACCGGAACGCACGCAGCATGTGCGGATAGTCCAGCCGGAAATTATCCTGAATGGCTTCCACGTCGTCCTGGGTGAGGGGTTCCACGGTTGCAATATAGTTCAGCTCGTTGAAATAGTAGGCTGTGTATAAGCGGCGGAACACGCGGTGCTCTCTGTCCTCCAGCGAGGCAAAGCCGTGCTTGAGAGCGATTGGCTGCATGACGTAGCGATTGAGCAGCGTGTTGTGGCTGACCAGTGAGCGTTTCTTCAGCTCTCCCATTATGTGTCTTTCCAACAGGGTCGGGCTGCTGAAGTGAAGCAGATGAACAAGGGCGCCTGTTGAAAAGGCCGCGTGGAAGATGCACATGGCTCCGAACGCTATTTTCTGCTGATCGCTGAGCATGTCGGAGGCCATCTCAGTGAGGATGTAGACCAGCTGATCGGTTTCTGTCCATGACGGGTAGTTCATGTCACTGCGGTGCTCTGCAGCATGCTCAAGCACCTGTGTCATGGTCCATTCCGGATGGTACTTTGCCAGTGACACCAGCAAGTGGATGGCCAGTGGGCAACCGGAGCTGAACTTGGCTACTTCGCGCGTCTCACTTTTGCTCAGGCATGGCGCCAGCGTGCGCATCAGCTTGTAGGATATCGCGGGCTCCAGCGCTGGCACCTCCATTTCCACAAGGTCTCCCTCCATGGTCTGGCAGCATGTCAGAATGATACGCACCGTGTTGTGGTAGTCCAGGATCCTTTCAAGCATCTCCGCTACGGAGTAGTCTGAGTCACTGAGCTGTGCGGTGTTGTTGCTGACCGAGTAGACACAGTCCTCTAGGTCATCCAGTATCAGCACCGGGTTGCCTTCTAGCACGCTGATTTCCTCCTCCAGGGTCTTCATACTATTGCCAGTGCTGTTCGGTGAGATGATGTGCACGATACGTCGCACGGCGACCGGACACGTGATGCATCCGCGCAGCGGCACGAAATGCACGTAGTTGTCCTCGATCTCGGCCAGCTTGCGTGCCACCGCAATGGCTATGCTACTCTTTCCCATGCCGTTGGAGCCTCTCAGGGCCAGAACACGCTTCTCGGTCTCCTCGCTCTGCAGCATGTTGTTTAGGGTGGTGATCGCCTGCTCGACCAGCTCATCACGCCCTGAGAATGGCTGGCTCAGCTCCGGGAACTTGTGATCGCGGGCTTCCCGCTCTGCAGCTGACACACCAACACACAAACACACACACACACACACACACACACACACACACACACACACACACACACACACACACCATGTACCATATATACGCCCGTTGCAAGAGAAGCACGCAAATCTGCAAGTGAACTGGATGTGCACCCACAGATTTTCTCTTATAGCAACGATAGCGGACAAGATCTGAATGAGAAGGATCAAGACTAGCGCCAGATAACTGTCCAATCCACACAACCCGCGAAGCCATGGGAAACGACCACCAATGCATACCTGGTCTACACCACATGGAATACATCGGCATAGAACGGCCAAGACAGTTACCTAAGCACACCCTACACTTGCTGGGGCAACCAGTATAGACAGCATGCTGCTTTGATAGAAGCAGACACTAGATGCACTGGTACCTTGAAGTGAAATTGGAGTTACTTTACCAAACAGCCTCGGCTACTGAGTACTGGGACCCCCCCCCCCCCCCACACACAAAACACACACACACACACACCACACGCACGCGCGCGCGCGCACACACACACACACACACACACACACACAAGCACGCCTGGATACACACAGGACACACAGGACACTGACACACAAAAACATGGACATGCATGTACATACAAGTGCACATACAATGCATGTGCACACACAATGCAGGTGCATACACAATCCATGTGTACACACAATGTATGTGCATACACAATGCATGTGCACACACAGAGCATGTGCATATACAGTGCACAACACGCAAACCAGTGAGACAAGAGGGCTCTTTCAAGTACAGGTATGTGAGAGAGCACTGTGCAGTAGCAGAGAAGGATTTGTCCCAAAAACGGCCGACTTCGTTATGGAGAAATATTGCTGCTACTCACCCCTTTCTTCTTCGGCTTTCTTCTTTGCTTTCTCATCTGCAGCTTTCTTCTCCTCATCCTTTAGCTAGATGAAGAGACAGGGAACAGGTAAAAGTGGAACCAGGTTGAAGCAGCTGTGATAACGAACTAAGCACAATTCACGACATTTGTTTCCAGCATAGTGAGTGAGTTAGAGTTAGAGAAAAAGAGAGAGAGAGAGAGAGAGAGAGAGAGAGAGAGAGAGAAAGAGATAGATAGATAGAGAGAGGGAGAGAGAGAGAGAGAGAGAGAGAAGGAAATTGAGAGAGAGAGAGAGAGAGAAAAGAGAGGTATGCATTCCTGGTCTAGAATTAAACACATCAAACACCTACATGTATGTCAACACTTAAGCGCTTGAGATGATATCTGAACTTGTTGCCGCTCGACCAAATCAAAATTCTTCAAATGCATAATGTTATCTCAAGTCAGAAGAACATATTTGACGTAGCAAAGCATCCGAAAATGTGAGAACATGAACCATTGGTTAGAGCATCGCTGGTCTAGCGAAGGTCTCTCAGGTTCGAGCACTAATGGTGACCATCAACTTTTTCTTTAGACGTCGTCTTCCCTTTTCAGTACCTCAGACTTATGGATATTAAATTAAAGAGTCATTCGTTTACCTTTCTCGCAAATTTGAACAGATGGTGGTGGACTTCTCGATAGCGATCACCAAAGCTTTTAAGGATATCAATGAAAAGCTTGTATCCGGATGGACCTGTCTTGCGAATCCAACGATACAGTACATTCATCTCACGTCCCGATTCAAACATCGGAAGCATTTTCAACCAATCTTCATCGGAAATCAGTTCCTTCTCGACACAACGCGATCCAAATTCCACGATGTCAATTCGATTCTGAAGATAGTTGATGTTGGGTCGAACAATCTAATCGGACAAACCGCACGCAAACCAACAGCATAACCACCCAAGCATGTGAGCACATATGGAGACACACACACACATACATGTACGAGTATTCACGCCAACAGATACACAGACACACAATAAATTCACCATCTACATGGATCAAAAAGTATATTATCGTGTCCGTTCCCGAAGGGAACTCACGACGGTCGCTAACACCCGGTAAACCCTAGCGGCAGATGCAGCGCCTAACGGTAGGGATGAGTGGATAAGTCTCACAACCACTGGTACAAGTGCCGAGAAACCCCATTAGCCGCAATCTACAAGGATAGGTGTTGCGTAACTTATATTCTGATTACGTTCTGATAATTGACCTTACGTGAAGCGCGTTAACACCCCTTGCCCTACTGCTACTACCAATAACACACTGCCTCGCAAGATTCTATTACTTGACATACTCCGAGAGCCAAACACTAAATTGTTCCTGTCGTTTGCACAACTTCACTCACCGTTTTCCACTCTGACTTGGGTGCCTCAGCCTCTCCCTCATCTGCTTTCTTCTTTTTCCGATTTCTAGGCTCCAAAATATCAGCAGGTGGTACGATGTCGACGTCGGCCGCTATCAATTTCATTAAATCCTCACCGGCGTCAAATTTTAAATCATCAAAGTCTTCCCTCACTATGCTTGTACTTGCTGGAAGTGCTTTCAACTCATTCATGTCAATTTTGCCACCTACAAGCAACAACACAGCAGCAGCAACTTGACAGTGAGAAGCATACCTTGAAAATCCTGGGAGAAGAAATTATGTGGGCTTGGGCGGCTAGGCTGTCAATAACACGCTCACCAACACAGTGAAACACACACACGCACGCATACACATGCACACACGCATACACATGCACACACGCATACACATGCACACCACACACACGCACGCGGAGCTGACAAGCTCGTTCCCATAACCCTGGAAAACACTTTTGCAGAGTTATGGGAACAAACTTGCCAGCTCCGCGTGCGTGCGCGCGCGCACGCACGCACACACACATACACACACACAGTATTTCATGTCACAAGAACCAGCGGCAACGGCAACTTACAGGTTATTCGGAGTTTCTTCATTACAAACGTCTTCAATGACGGCTGCTCTTGTATGATACAGCGGTATAACGTGTCGATGTGCGGTGGCTTCTTGTGCAAAAGACCAAGCATGAAGCGCACGGCAATCTTTTTCCCATCAGCGGCACCGTGAAGTTTCCGGATCTGTTCTGCCTCCTGCCCTGAAATGCCGCCGGAAAGGAATAGCAGATCTAGGACTTTGCTCGCGTCAAGGTGCTTCACGAGAAATGGCCACATGCTCGTAAGGGAATCCACTGCAGAGAAAACATGAGTTGAAAACAACACACGTCATGTTGAGGAGAGAACCATGCGAGTCCAGGGAAGTGAATGTCCGAGATGGTCACATGACGTCAGCCATGTGACGACCAGCGGACGCAGTTTTTGATTTTTCCGGCCATAGCCGCACAGCCGTTCATACTTGTGTGTATGATATGGTGGCTACTCATGACCCCCTCAGCATTACATCATACCCGTTGGTGGTCACAGAGTTGCTCCAAACCATGGCCTGGTCAACCGGACCGGTTCTGCCCACCCTACACGCTGGTTCCACTGTTCACACGTCATGATAACTGTCAACACAAAGTTGGTCACTTGAAAGAGATATGAAACCACTCTACTTCCAATGTACTGTGTGTCCAAAGTCAATTGAGTGGCATAGCTTAATACAGGGGCCTCCCAGAGCACTTCAGCATGTTTTAACCAGTGCAGTGGGCACAGTGGGTTGGTCAAAGACCATGATTGAGATACGAGAGGTACCTGGTTCAAGTCCTGCCTGGGAGCGTCTTTTCCATCTGTGCTGCTACCCACAGTCAACTGGGAACTTGTGGCCAGGCACAATAGGGTACATGGGAGCAGCTAATGGGGTCTTTCTTGGCACTTGTGCCCGTGGTTATGAGACTTATCCACTCACCCCCACCGTTAGGCACTGCATGTGCCGCTAGGGTTATCGAAGCGTTAGCGGCCGTCGTAAGTTCCCTTCGGGAACGGACACGATAACTTACTCTTTTTTTAACTCCGAGTTTCACGCTTAGTGCGTTAACGGGGAAGTTAAGGCAAAAATTAAAATTTCACCAGTTGTAGTCTTCGGGGTGCTGAGTCGAATGGTCTTGGTCCGAGAAAGCTGAGACGCTCCCTTCCTACTTGAATCCCAATCGAACTCGCGCACTTCAACCGAAACTGGGTGACTGCGCCCTACTAGATGAGGATTTGTATGCAAAATGTCACTAAAAGCGCCGTTTCGTTCTTATAAAAGCACGGATGACCGCGATTGGCCCATATGTTGTAGTCTTTTGGACGCTGAGTCGACTGGTTTTGGTCCGAAAAGGCTGCGATTAGGGCTGAAACGATCATTCAATAACTCCTAACGATCAACCAATATCATTAACGATCGATATATTGGTTTTATCGATTCTTGTCAGCTCTATCGAACATGAAATACTAGTACTCAAGTAGAGAATTTCATGTTGTTTCTAGAGCGAAGAATCTTGTCATCACCCTCTGGCAACTTTTCTCATCTCCGAATTCTCCCACAAATGAACCGAAAAGGCAAAGTCTTCTCTCCCGATCTCTTTCAAAGCCACAAATCAATTTTACTGCGCTTGAAAGTAGATGGTTGCACTCGTATCCACTATCGGATGGAGTGCAAGGGCTAGAAGAGTGCAAGGGCTAGAAGAGTGCAAGGGCTAGAACATTGTCACTGTTATGCATGCATAAAAAATCGTTAGCACTCGTTTTGAACAATAACGATTATCGATTGCACTCTTAACGATCGATATGCGAGTTATCGGTATAATTGTTTCAGCCCTAGCTGCGATGCAGCGTTCCTCCTTTTTTCCCAATCGAACATGGTTGAACAAGCGGTCACGTGCTCCTGCGTACACCAGTCAGCTGGTCACCGTGCCTGCAGGGTACAACTTACTAGCCTGTTTGACCTTTTTTGGGTGCAGTCCTGTTACTCGAGTTGAACTCGAGTTGAACCTTGGTGTGAAAGTTGTCGCCTGCCGGCGTGGTGACCAGGTGATTTGGGCACCCAGGAGCACGTGGCCGCTTGTTCAACCATGTTCGATTGGGAATAAAGGAGGAACGCTGCATCACAGCCTTTTCGGACCAAAACCAGTCGACTCAGCGTCCAAAAGACTACAACATATGGGCCAATCGCGGTCATCCGTGCTTTTATATGAACGAAACGGCGCTTTTAGTGACATTTTGCATACAAATCCTCATCTAGTAGGGCGCAGTCACCCAGTTTCGGTGGAAGTGCGCGAGTTCGATTGGGATTCAAGTAGGAAGGGAGCGTCTCAGCTTTCTCGGACCAAGACCATTCGACTCAGCACCCCGAAGACTGGTGAAATTTTAATTTTTGCCTTAACTTCCCCTTTAAACTCGGAGTTAAACACTTTTTTCGTCCTCTTACTTGTATTATTGTTTGACCTAGCTCTGCCTCTCGGATATTGATCACTCTTGGACAGCCTGGAACCTCTCTGTTTTACAGGGTATCTTAGACCAAAGTTTCACAGAAGTCGAGAATAGGAAAGAGTAGTACTGTACAGAAGCAGTGATTTCTTATCGATTTCGGCTACTGAGTATGTGTTTATTTTCAGTCCTGACTGCTCAGTGTTTCTTACTCTGCATGCTGTTGATGTGGTGCTGCTCGCCGACAATGGATGCCCTCTTTCTCAGCTTTGCAATGCTTCTCTTTTCCTCGTCAGAGTTATTCTCATCGGTGAACTCTGCCGCGTACGGGCTGTATTCCTCCACCTCCACATCCTCGTCATCGCCGTCGTAATCCTCGCCGCGCACGGCATCATAGTACGCGCTGCCCGAGCTGTCCTCGTCATCCGAATCATCATCGCAATAGAAGTCATCTTGGCCCTCGCCTGACTGCCACTCGTCCTGCGTGGCAGCCGGGGCACCGACCACCTCCTTCATGTACGACGCCACGTTCAACTCCTGAGGTATGGGCGCGTTGTACACCCTCGGTCCTAGATGCCCTCCTCCGCTCAGAAGCGGGTACTGTGACTTCTCGCCCCCGGCTTGCTGGCTCTTGCGCTCATTCTGCTTGGCGCGGGCACGCACCTCTTCCTCTCCCTCTGTGTCGCTGGATGACAGTTCTCTGATCTGCGATGGAAGATCAGCAGAAGCCGTCGCGTGGGCAAAATACTCATCATCATCGGGCAGCGGACCAAGCGGATGTCCAATCGGATACTTGAAGCGGTCCTCAAAATGCCCTCTTTCGAACTCGTCAGCAAAATCTAGGTCCGGTACATCACCGAGATCATCCACAAAGCTAGCGGAAGTGGCAGTAGGCGCAGCAGCAGCAGCAGCAGCAGCAGCATCATCATCATGCAGAATAGGAGTCTCCGTGAATTCCAGAACGGTTGGCTGTGCTGTAGCGTTGGCATCCGGAGGAACAGGAGGCGATGGTGAGTGACCGGCAGTTGCCTGCGGCTGCAACATAGCATCACCTTGATCATCACCCTGCACGCTGTCTGCTGGACTTCCACCAGCCATCGGTAGTATCAACTCAACCTGCGAACTCTGTTCAGCATCATCCAGAAACATCTGTTCAGATGCAGCCGACTCATTAGGAATTTCAGCCACATCGTGCACCGGACCTGACAAGCCAGCCGCGCCTTCTGCCAGTTCTGGTAAATCATATGAATCTAGACCATCTAGTGCATCCAGATCGTTTCCTGGTGGAGCTTGGCTAGTTAAATCCAACACCTGATCTTGGTCAAGACCTTCACCTGTTGAAATCGCTAAGTTTCGTTCATCCTGCTTGTCACTGGCCACTGTAAATTCTCCCTCTGAACTATATTGTTTCAGCATATCAAGACCACCTGAAGACGAGGGAACGTTTTGAGAAGCCATTATATCGTTGTGAACATCAAAACATTCGGCTTCCAAACTATTTCGCTCCTCGGGTTCAAAACTAGCGGCCGTTTCATCTGCGAGATCATCGTGTGTCGACATGAGAATTGCCTAAAAAAGACAAACACACACGAACATGAACTTCAAAACGTACGCCACCTCACAAACAATTGTATCTCATGACTCAAGAACCTTTTTCAAAACAGCACAAACAGCCACAAGGCTATAATTATTATTTGAAAAATTGTGTTTGTTCAGACGATCGGTACGTCCACGGCCGGCGCCACGAGACTTTCGAGAGCAGGAGTCGTAAAATACCACTCTCTGCTCGGGAGCAATCCTGTTCCAGCTACCGCAGCCGGCGCACCACAACGGGGCCGTGGATTGACGGCGCAAGAATGATGAAGATATGCCCATTTTTCTTGGGCTTTCACGTCACCACTGGTCACATCCCCTTCATCATCCGGATACTTCTCAGAATAACATCGGCTCCTGTCATCATGACTGTGCGTCTACTCACTCAGTACTCTGTGGAGTGTGGTTGAGTTCACTCGAGTAGATCTACTCGGCACGACGGCAGGACCCGGAGCTCCGGAGAAGCCCTGGTTGAGTGACTGAGTGACTGGTCACTTGCTCAGTGGTGTCATTCATCCACTCACTGATATTGATATTGATAATAATTATATCTAGCACTCGCTAGTACTAGTAGTAGTAGTACTGTAGTACAATTATTTAGTACAATGTCAGAACATAATACTTGTGAAGCCACGCTATGGAGTTAGGCTAGTCGCAAATTTCATTCGCGTCTGGTGAAGATCACAATCCGTACAGATACCGACATCTTCATAAACAGCAGTGGCCATTGTATTGGTCTTGCTTGGTGCACGAGTAAGAGTAGATTGTTATATTTTGCAATCTCGCAAAGAATTCTGGCTTTGCGGAGCAGTATTTTGCTGATAATAGATCAGCCGCTACAAATTAATTCAGAAAACAATAGGCCGCCAGAATCCAATATGGCGTAAAAAAACCTGGATTCAATCATCGAGAGCTTCTCCAGTGAACTGGCTACACGATGCCGGAACGAAATGGTTATATTCGCAGGCTTCCTGTGAGTGTGTTTGGCGTGTGCCTGGGCACGGCTGGACAGGTACCGATGTGGAATAGCCTTGCGAATAGCAAGGCAATGAAGTGCTTCGACATACCGCAGGTAGTTGCACAAGTGTTCTGGGTGATAGCCGTTGTCCTGCTGACCATTCTGGCGGCGCTCTATTGCTGGAAGATTGTGCTGCACCCACGCTCAGTGCGCACGGAGTTCCACTGCTACTACCAGAGTAACTTCTTCACACTGCCGTTCCTTTGCCTGATCATCCTGTCAGCATCATTGCCACCGGCATGGTTTGCGGGCGAGCCATCACCGCTGCTTCTACTGCTGCTAGTGCCGCTGGTAGCCATTCATGTCTACCTGTATGGCGAATGGATGTATGGAGTCAATCGGTCGCTGCGACTGGCAAACCCTGCGTTTCAGCTGGCGGTTGTGGGCAACTTCTTCGGCTCCCTGCTGGCATCGAATGCCGGTCAGAGTGAGCTGGCCATCGGTCTGTTCACGGTTGGCATTATGTACCTGTCTCTCACGCTGGCGTGTCTGCATGCGGCCAACACGCGTATAAAACGCGACTGTACCGGCGCTATCCTGCAGGAGCAGACGAGACGTCGCCTGGTCAAACTGGACGAGGACCTGCACCCTCTGCTTGAGAGCACACCGGGCCGAGTGCAGCACAACCCATGGTCACCAATGTCGGAGATCTGGGCTCTGCCACCGGGCCTGCACCCGACGATATTCCTGTGCCTTGCACCACCGTCCGTGGCAGCACTGGCCTGGGCAAACATAAACGACGGAGTATGTGACAGGCTGTGTAAATCCCTGGTCAGCATTCCCATCTTCTTCCTGCTCACGATGTCCATCCACCTGCATCGGTTCTTCCGACGCACGCCCTTCTCCCTGGCCTCGTGGGCGTTCACGTTTCCCTCGGCGGCACTCGGAACGGCCAGTATCAAGTACGCCGAGTATGCCTCTCCCGGGTTTTCATACTTGTCGTTCGCGCTGTGCTGTGTAGCGATAACGTTCTGGACAATGGCAACTCTGCTCAGTCTCTACATGCTCGGTACACGCGGTCTCACGGCATTCCTGTCACCCGGATCGGAGAAGACAAGCGACGTACATTTCCTGGTGGGCGGTGCGGCGGCACGACTGCAATGCGAAGAGGGCAGTTTGGAGGTGGACAGGTCAGTGGTACACCGTGTACACGATGTTGAGCAGATCGGGCAATGTGGCGCTCCGTTCCTCGATCCACGAGACAAAACCCATCAAGCATGTGAAACGTCCATATAATTGCAATATTGGCCAGTGCACCCAAAATCGGATTTTTTAAATTTATAAACATTGAACAACGTACGGCAACGCAGCCACTTCTGCCAGTGCATGAAATGATAACTGGCTTTGATTGTCATTATATTTGACGCTGAGCCGCTTCCCAATGGCGCTGCCCTTGAGAATAATATTGATATAATATTGATAGTGATGTAGACAATTACCACGGTTGATATACAGAACGTTGAGACTGTAAAGTTGATTTATGCTTGTCTATCCGACTAGTTGAGAAGTATTCACTCCCTGAAAGACACCACCTCCCATTATGATTAGAACGTTAGCTTCCAATGGGCTAAACCTACGCGTATTTAATTTTGGTATTATCATCAATGTGTTTGCCAAACCTCTTGCTGCTATTATCAAGACACATCGAGTCACTCTACAAGAAACACTAATTTTGCTCCATAATCAGACAGATTTCCGGAATTTATAGACAGAACAGGGATGTCTCCCAATCAAAATTCTGAACTTCACCGCCTCCTCGCATTCTCTTATAACCCTGCTTCTATGATGTTCATATGCACGCACAAAACTCATCCGCTCTCATGCAATAGGGTGTGCTGCCTCTGTTTGATTCTGCGAATTAAAATACATGAAACAAGAACAGCAGCCACCTACCTGGAGTAGCAAAATCCCATCTTGAAGTTATTGTGGATAATCCATAATTAACTGACATCCTCATCAAAGACTGATAACCTTCCTTTGTACAGTGCTCATATTAAACTGACATGCCAGGGTAATGCTAAAGGTGTGGGGCGGGGGAAATACCCTATGCTGGCCGATTTAAATATTGTTGCCTGTGGTCAAATGCAAGGACTTCTGACAAGAAGTGCAATCCCTTCATCAGATAATACGAGTGTGGATCGATATCTGCATAAACACCTACATAAATGCCACAATATGCATCCTGAGTTGTGAAGCTTGCTAGACATCAAACTCGAACTTCTGGTATTTCCCCACTATGCTCAGGCACTGCCGTGGGTGAATAGTGTGTTTTGTTCAAAGAGTATCAGATACAGATACTGGTATGATCAGGCTGGCAATGAGTCTATCAAACTTGTATACCGGTAGCCTTCTCTAGCTACCATGCACCTCAAAATAATACCCTGGCTGTTGAAGACAGCCGGGCCTTCTAGTTCTGTACAATTCTCCGATCATGAATGGGCAACAATTGGTCTCACCCTTTCCTCAATTAAATTGGTTGTCTTGACATGCTACAAGGTGCAGAAATAAATGAATAAATAAAATAATTATATCTACATGACTGCATTCCTGATAGGATTGTTGACAAGACGTACTGAACTAACTCTCCAGATGCCAGATTGCAGTAGAGTGCTAGCCTATAGTGTGTACTGCCAGACATGTGTGGATGGCTGAGTATGAATACCAACGCTGTACCGTGATTCCAAAGGTTTTCTAAAAAGAGTGCGTTTAGAACTGTAAGTGTGATACTTCTCAATAAAAACATGGGTGGGGTGGGGATTTTGCAAAAATAGCAGTTAAAAATTCTGCTGATTTTCAACTGATCAATCTGAGTAATGCATGAAATCAAGACCTACGATCAAGTAGCAACTAGCACACTGGTCCATCATAAGCCTCATCAAGTCCTATGTCCTTCCCCTCCGTCCAGATCTGTGCTTGTGTGCATGCCATTGCCGGGTCGGTCCAGAACGGATCGGTAGCCGGCAGGCCCAGCTGTACTAGCCCCAGACATATCAAGTAGAGTGCACCCGTGTCGCCGTATGGATTCATCATTCCGGGCTGATGGCCGTTCACGCCGGCCGATAACCATTCTCCAACGAAGTTGTCCGGATTGGACATGAACCTGCTGATGAGACCAGTCAATGCAGACCGTACCTTCCCCACTGGTAGTTTCACTGGCAAATTGTGCTGCAGAGCCAGCTGACCGAGAACCTGGAACGCACCGAAGCGATAGTGCTGTGATCTACCGACCAGGAAATAGGTACCATCGGCATGAATCATCCTCTCCTGCACAACTGCCCAACGCTGCATTCTGCGCAGCAGGCAAGCATGCTTCTCGCCCAGAGGGTTGCCCTTTGCTGCACACACGCTGGCTACATCAACCAGCATGGGATGCATGACAAAGCCGTTGTACTGGTCGAAGTGAAAGTGCGGGCCATCCGCGTATGCCCCGTCACCCGCGTACCAGGATTCCTGAAGTCCAAACGCCCGGCGTATGAATGTGGTGTTGCTGCTCAAGTTGTGCAGCCACAAGCCAGCCTCCACCATTGACGGAAAGTTCACATGGTTATTGAAGGTGGTGTCATCCAGCGTAAGTGCCAAAGGAAGATTTGTGGCTATAGCCTCCACCAGATCACGGGGAAACGTTTGAAATAGCTTTGGCATTCGCAACATGGTGTGCCCAATGTACGCAGCCTCCACTATGACTGCTGTACACCCGTCCCAGTGAACATAATCTCCACAGGTTCTGTTCAGGAAGATGTTGTGGAAAGCCTTCCGTGCCAAGGTGATGTACTCGTCGCGCATTTGCCCTTCTGACGAGCCGTCCACTGGCAATTCCAACCAAGGAGCAATGCCAGCCATTGTTCTGCCAAACGCTGCTGACACACGATACGATGTGCAGCTGATGGCTGTTGGGGGGTGTCCGTTGAGCTGCTTAGCCATCAGGCTGTTCAGGGTGCAAGTACTAGCATGTTCCAGCACTGGCCGGGCTATCTTGTTCAATGCCTGCAAATGCACTAGACGCTCACTGCCAACCCCTTGAGGTGATTTGTTATCCCGTGGGAATTTAGAATAGATGCCCAAGGCTTGCACTGCATTGAATAATATCGCGGCAATACACAGGATGACCCATACTGCAGAGTCAGTCTTGCTTAGAGCCATTTCCACGGTCTATGTAGAGAGCAGAATGATAGAATTGTGAACTACTGCAAGTACTGGATGAACTTGAATGTGGGTGTGTTGGCGGTAGTGGCCTCTGTGGCGATGAAGCTGTTGCGAGTGCATGGGATGTATATCTACTATGTACTAACTGTGATGGTCATAGGCATTGGACCACTGAGGGCAGGCGACATCCACTTTTCCAAGATGTATCAGCAATTTCACATCCAGCAGCAGGGCGGTCCTCTGTGAACAGGCATTATTCTCTCCGACATGCCTTTAGCATAACTACAGTCAGTTTGTATGCCATCCATTAATGATTTGACTCCATTCATTCGTCACCTGTACGAAATCACTGTCAACTGTTCTAGTTTTAGTTGGATACTCAGTTACATGCACTTGCTTACAATAATTGGTATGTGTTTATTACCAAAAATGGCCTATGAAAACTTGGACGTGATAACTTATTTTGGCAACAAACTAATCGCTTGGTTTTTGGTCGGAATGTCATCGATGAAGATATAGATAGACTTCATGCAGACACCCTCATGATTCTACATCTTTTGCACTAAATAATAATGTTCAAGCAGACTGTTGCCATCGTGATCGGGTGCATGGAGAAACTGATAAAATCATAGACTCAGCTCTTGCTCGGAACGTGATCACGTGCCCCGCCCTACTGTTCTCAGGCCAGACACAGATGAGAACCTCCTTTGGCTTTGATGTCAATGATGACTTGGACGAAAGAAAATCTCCGCCCGATACGATGAAATGAACATATTTTGATTTGGGGATAATTGTAGTTCAACAAGGTTCGAATACTGTACTGTACTCGAAGACGCGTTTCGTCGCTCGTCCACCCTGCATGACTGCAATGGAGCGAGATAAATCGATCTACATCCTGTCATTGGCTTTGCTATGTGTTGCTTGCGGCGTCCGGGGTGAGGATAGGTTCGTGAAAGATGGTGGCGACACGGGAGCTGCAGATCGCCAGGTGCATCTTGTAGCTCTTGAGCAGATATCACGCCCGGTACTGGGGAATTTGAGCTTGTGCACTCTCAATATAAACATGCTCAATCAAACTAAGGACGGAGCGTACCGGACCTGCCCCGATTACCGTGTCGCTGCAGCATTTGCCAGACTAATCTCCGGCATTGCTCCGTGGCTGGAGTTGGGCGCGTCGGACAACAGCACAGACGAAGGAAAGCTTCGAGCGGAGTTCATCGACTTGACGAACAAGGCATTCTACAACGTGTTCGTGAATCAGACATGTCGGGATTTCGTTCACTGGAACCAGTGTCACGGTATGGTCGTGGAGGCTGCATTCGTCGGCCATAGCCTCCTGCGTATGCCTAAAACCGTACAGGCAATGAGCTCTGAGCTGAAGGAAGCAATGGCCAGTAACTTACAATTGACTTTCACATTCTCCCCACCAACATGGAACAACTGGTGCAATTTCCCGTCAATCCTTCAAGCTGGGCTATGGTACCATAACCTTAGCAATGGTACGAGCTACATTTACACGGCTATCAAGCTGCAGGAAGAATGGTACAAAGGCGATGGAGTGTACGGTGACGGGCCACATCTTCATTTCGACCAGTACAACAGCTTCGTCATGCACCCGGAGCTGGTCGATGCAGTTGCGGTGTGCAAGGGGAAGGGCGACGCGATGGGTGCAAAGTACGAGTGCCTGCTGAAGCGCATGCAACGCTGGGCCGTGATTCAGGAGAGGATGATACATCCGGACGGGTCGTACATCATCTTCGGTCGCTCAGAGTTCTATCGGTTCGGTGCATTCCACGCCCTATGTCAGCTTGCCCTTCAGAATCTTCTACCCAGCAATCTGCCACGCGGTAAAGTGCGCACAGCGATGACGGCCGTCATCGGCCGCTTTCTGTCCAATCCGAATAACTTCATCAACGGATGGTTGGCGTCAGGAGTTAATGGCCACCAGCTTGGTATGATGAACTCGTACGGGGACACCGGCGCATCATATCTGATAAGCTTTGGCCTACTGCAGCTGGGCTTGCCAGCTACTGATCCATTCTGGACAGAACCAGCAGTGAGCTGTACACAGGCTCAGATCTGGGTTGAAGGGA